TTTACTTGATTGACAGGTTCCAAATAATCCCAATCAAACCCCGGAAGGCGTTTTGTCAACATTTGCCACATCAGCTCAGGCTGCATGGCAGACACAAACACGAGTAACACCTGGGTGACCTTGGAGTTGGCAGCCTCCTAAGAGGTAACTGGTAAGGTGGACTTCAAAACAGACCAAGAAGAAACATCTGTAAGACACACAGGACTCACCTGCAAAACAGCAAGGAATCCTTGGACGACGGATCTGGACAGCTTGCCACAGAAGACACTGAGACCCTTCCCATGCACATCACTGGAGAACGACGGGGACAACACCTGCCCACATTGTCATTGCTGAGAGCGGACACCCCAAGAACTGTTTCTCAGTGCTGCTGGCACTGTAGGTGTCCTGGCCATCCTGCTGGTATTCTTGTTGGTGAATCTGCACAAGGTGCATCCACCCACACAGCAGGAATGAGGGTGCAGACCCTGGGAGGGGATGAGCCCTTGGGCTGGAGTTCAAGCTCTGCCTCTGCGTCCAGCTTCCTGTAAATCTGTATCCTGGAGGCAGCAGGTGATGGCTCAAGAACTGAGGTCCCTGCCAGCCATGTTGGGGTCCATGGCTCTAGCTTTGGCTTGGCCTGACCCAGCCTGGGCTCTCGTAAGCATTTGGACACCCAGTGAAAGAAAGATCAGACACTCCGCCATGAAACTTGGGGGTCAACTGCTGCTCCTCTGACTTTAAGTTAAGAGCAAACAAGATCAACCTATAAAACCTAGAAGCCACATCATCAAAAAGAAACGTGCTTGGGCTGGGCATCGAGCCCGGTGTTTCAGGCACAGACACAAGGTGTAGACTATGCTGACAGAGCCTCCAGAGGAAATAAGAAATGGTAAGAGCCCTTGGGAGTCACAGGTCCACACTGCTGAATCCAATACAATATGGCAAGACACATGGGAGCCAGGCAGTGGGGCGAACTCCAGCATGGCACAGGTGCTCTGGCACCACTCTCAAACAGCCTCCTGCCGGGCCTACCCACGAGGTGGAACTAGTGGGTTCTACTAGGAGCAGCTGTAGCAGCAATGAAATGTGACATGTGCGCTCCAGCCCTCTGACAGGCCACCTTGCTAGATTCCTGTCTTACGAGGGAAGGACACATGCTAAGACCCCACCCTGCTCGTTTATCCAATAAACCCTGGGGCAGGTGCTGACATAGCATGTCAAGTTATGGCCTGTGGTGCTGGCTTCCCTCTATGAGTCCTGGCTGCTGCACTTCTGACCCAGCTCCATGCTAATGGCCTGGGAAAGTGGTAGAGGATGGCCCAAGCGGTTGGGTCTCCGCACTCACATGGGAGACCCAGAAAAAGCTCCTGACTTCAGAACAGCTCAGCTCTGGCTACTGTGCTCATTTGGAGAGTGAACCAGTGGATGGAAGCTCTGTCCGTCTCTGTAACTCTGAGTTTGAAATAAGAGGATTGGGCCTGGTGTGATGGCACAAAGGTTAAAGTCCTCACCTTGAATGTGCTGGGATCCCATATGGTTGCCGGTTCTACTCCTAGTGGCCCTGCTTCCTATCCAACTCCCGCTTGTTCCTGGGAAAGCAGTCGAGGACAGTCCAGGTCTTTGGGTTCTTGCACCCGCATGGGAGACCTGGAAGAAGCTCCTGGCTTCTGGTTTTGGACTGGATCAGCTCCAGCTGTTGTAGTCACTTGGGAAGTGAACCATTGGGTGGAAGATCTTCCTGTCTCTCCTCTCTGTATGTCTGCCTTCCCAATGAAAATAAATAAATCTTGAAAAAACAAAATTAAGAGGATCATGCTTCACTTAATAAAAGAGGCTGAGAAGAGGGAGAGGTCTTTGCCAAGACCAGGCTTGGAGATACTGTGCTCACACTTGCTTTCTCACTCTCCTCCCTCTGGTCACACTCACACTTCAATGTGCGCTTATTCGTCACTGTTGAAGAATTCTTGTTCTTACCACACGAGATACCTGTGTGCACGTGCACAGACATTCATATACACATTCATATTCACACATGGGTGCCTATGTACCCATGTTCACCTGCCTTTCCCACACCTCTGTGGCGTAGTGGCCTGGATTCAAAACTATGATCCCGAAACCCCAGTCAGTATCAGGTGCTGAAATGGGGGAGCAGGTGCTTGCTTACAATGGTGTGTGTTACCCCACCCCGTCCTTATCAACACTGGCACACAGCATTTCAAACATAATTTTTTGGCTCTTCACAATGAAAAAAGTTGTTTTTCTAAGCCTTTTGCATCAGGAAAAACACCCAGACTCCAATTGAGGCCTGTGTCCCCTGGCTTAGGGCCCAACTCTGGCTCCTCAATCCAGTTTCCTGCGGATACACACCCCAGGAGGCAGTTCTGAGCTGTCTTTCGGCTGCAGCCACCCCCAGGCTGACTGGGACTGAGTTCCTAGCACTCAGCTTTGACCTATACCAGTCTCAGTTGTCATGGACACTTGAGGGGTGAGTCAGCAGATGGGAGCTCAAGCTCTCTGCTTATCTCTGTTGCTCTCTGCATCCCATCCCCCATTAGTTTAATCTCAAAGGATATTAAACAAAACAAAAAATGCTATTAGGCTATAAGAAGACAGGGAGGGAGAGAAGCCAGACTGAACAGGCAGCCTTGTGTTCCCTGGAGTTCCGGAAAGGGCAAAACAAGGCATAGCAATGTCGGGAGCTGCTGTGGGCTGCAAAGGAGCAGGAGGAGGACAGTGGATCCTTGGGTGGTAATACCACTGTGCAGAACACCATCTGCTTTGCTTAAAACCCAAGGACAAGATCAACTTGATGACAGAGTGCATACAATGGCTCACAGTTTGTGAGGAACACAACGGGCCAAGGAGTTCTCCGTTATCTGGATTTTTCTGTACATCTGAAGCTGTCCTAAAAGAAGCTAATGAAACAGATAGCCTGGGGCTGGTGCTGTGACAGAGAGAGGTGAGCTCCTCTCTGCAATTCTGCATCCCATATGGGTACTGGCTTGAGTCCCAGCTGCTCTGCTTCCAAACCAGCTCCCAGCTGACAAACTGGGAAGGGAGCAGAAGAAAGCCCAAGTCACCCACGGGGAGACCCAGACCAAGTTCTGGCTCCTGCCCAGTCTAGTCCCAGCTCTTGAGGGTGAATCAGCAGACAGAAATGTTCTTTCTCTCCTTTCTATCACTCTGCCTTTCAAATAAAGAGAAAAGCTGGGGAACTGGTGAAAGTTGGGCGAAAACAGAATGCCAGTGCCGAGCGTGAAGCTGGGTTGACTGCACTGCAAATGCTCAAACTTCACAAGGAGTTTTATTTAACTTTTAAAAGATCTATTCACTTGAAAGGTGGATGAGAGAGGGAGAGAGAGGAAGAGAAGGACAAGGACATCTACCTGCTGGTTCACTCCCCCAGCAGATGGAACAGCAATGGCTGGCACAGGGCAAAGTCAGCAGCCAGGATGCCTAGCCAGAGATCCAAGCACTGGAGCCATCACTGGCTGCCTCCCAAGCTAATGAGCAGGGGTGCATCCTAAGCACAGCTTTAGGGACTGGAGGTGGCCATCCCTAGTACGACACAGGACACAATGCCTGCTCCATGGAAAGCTTTCACACACACACACACACACACACACACACACACACACACAGATGGACATATCAAAATCAGTCAAAGAGGGAGAAGGAAATATGGACTTGGAAGCACCTGTGAAGTCATGAAATCAAAATGGTTGACTCCTCTGTGATCCAGTAATCTTATTACATCACATCATCTTTCAGTCACCAGTTACGGGACCAGCTGCACCAGCCAGGTACCCTTGGCCAGGCAATGAGCCCTGCATGATCTGTCCAGGGTGTGAAAGCAGCATCCCGAGGCCCAGAACTGATCCTGACCAGGCAGGAGCACATCCCAGCAGTGGGAGGAGGCACACAGTCCCCTGCACTGCACTGCTGGACCCCAGTGCATGACAGCAAGGCAGCTACTACCGCAAGTTGAGTTCCCTTGCCCAGGATATCCGCCTTTCTGGACAAGACAACTCTTAGGTTAAAAAAAATCATGGCTGCAGAAGACTTATAACCAGCAGCATGGACTGGGGCCTGCAGGAGAGGCTGGAGACCCTGTCATCAGCTTCAGCTACAGCAAGAGGAGGGACATGGACATAGGGAGGACGGCAGTGGGAGCACAGCAGGGAAGGAGCAGGGGATGGGAACACAGGAATCTCAAAACTGTGCTCTAACAAAAAACGGATTCTTTACAAGATTTACTTACTCAGAGTGACACACAGAGAGACATACGTGCTCAGGGCTTTCTTCGATCCGCTTTTTTGCTCTCTAAATGACTAGATGCAAACTAAGTAGGTGGAAGCCAGGAGACAGGAGCTCCCTCTACATCTCCCTCAGGGGTGGCAGGAGCCCCAGTACTTGCAATAGCACTGTCACTCAAGGTGCACTAGCAGGGGCTGGAGTGGGATTGGAAGGGGAGCAACCGGGACTCGAGTCACCACCCTGACAGATGACATCCTACACAGAGGCTAATCCACTGTGCCCAGCTACTCTGCCAAGAATGTCCTAAAAGCATCCCTGTGCAGTGACAACCTGGGAAATCTGCCTAAGAGGTACAAGATGTAACCTCAGGTCTAAGAAACTAAGATACAGTTCAGGCCGTGCCTAAGATCTGCTTCACAGCGATAAGGAGCGGAACATGGATGTTTTAGCTCTTCTGAGCCCACATGTGGCTTCAGGGCCTCCACACGAGAAAGGACAGTTACACGGACAGATCTCCTATGTCATATAGTGACTGCATCCAGGAACAACGGAAATCAACTTCCCAACTCCTTCCAGGGGCTCACCCTGCTCTGCTTTACACCTAGTTCCTGCCTTCCCCCAAATCAGGTAAAAAACCAAGCATGGAGGCAGCATACCCTGGGCTGGAGCCTATCCCAGCCCCAGAGGACCAGCTCCCTCAACAGGGCCCTGCCTGAGACCCCGGGGCTGAGGACGCTGCACATGCAGGCAGGGGTACTGACCGCGGCTAGGGGGTGGCAGGCCGCTCAGGTAGGGGAGGCTGAGTCTGCGCAGCTCATCCAGTTTCTCCCGCAGCTGGCGCACCTGGCTGTCTGAGCGGCTGACGCGTTGGCGCAGGCTCTTGAGCTCGCCGTTCTTCTTTTCCACCTGCTCACGCAGGCAGCACACCTGGCTCTTGCTTTGGCGAGAGGAGAAGCAGTAGGAGTGCAGGGAGTCGATGAGCCTGCACGCCCCCGAGGCTGACAAGATGACCTCGTTGATGGACATGGGGCTTGCGTCACTGTGCTCGCTCTTCACAGCCTCGGCAGCTGGCTTCGGGGGGACATCAGCTGGAGGGGCTGAGGGGCTCGAGGATGGCTTCAGAGGTGTGGCCGTGAGCGTGGAGCTGGGGGGATTCTGTGCCAAAGCCCTGTCAGGGCCCAGGTTGTTCCCACTGCAGCTAGCCTCCACCTCCCTCCTCGGCCTCTTGCGGTCCACGGGCTCTCGTGGGACAGATGGCCGCTCTCGAGTGTGCCTGGAGGAGAAACTATAGGAATGAAGTGAACCGATGAACCTGCAGGCCCCAGAGCCCGGAGGGGAGAAGTCTTCCTCGGAGATGCCACTCCTGTCCGCCCCAGGCCCAGGGCCGGCAGCACAGGCCTCGGGGGCCAGCTCCTCCGTTTCTCTCTGGCTGCCACCTCCTGAGGCGGCCCGTCCAGCTCCAGGAGTTCTGTCCAGAGGCTGCGGTGTCGCCTCCTGCCCAGTGGCCTCGCCCTGCAGGGTGGCTCGCCGTAGCCTGCGGGTCTCTGACTTGGCCATTGGGTTGTCCCTCGAGACAGAAGAATCTGCTGCGACAGTGGTGGCGCCTTCACTGGCCACTGAGCCCACGTGTCCGCTCAAGCTCCCCTTGGCCCTGCCAGCCTCCTTCCTCCTGGTGCGGCCATGGCCTCTGGGTTCCCTTTTCTTGTCGGCCAGGTGGAAGATGGAGGGCACGGCAGTGGGCTTGAGAAGGCGATGTTGGTCCTCCAGCCTCCGGGAGAAGCTGTCTTTGGTGAAGTGCTCACTGCAGAGGAATGAGTATTTGGTGGGGGTCCAGTTCTCCCTCTGCACGGCCTTCAACCACTGGATCAAGCGTTTGGAGTCCTTTAGGGGAAACCTACCAGAAAAAATACACCGGGATCAGCACAAACAACTACTCATGGCTCTCTTATCAGATTAGATGGAATACCAAAACCAGCATTTCTACAACCACTCAAGCTCTTAACAATACTTAACGGACACTTACACGAAATTTCAGCTTCCAAGTTATGGCTGGACTAGGAACACAGGGAACCCACCCCAGCTATGACCTCCTGACCGCCCAAAGGACATACAGGAAGAAATGGAGAAGCTCCCCGGGACATGCGGTGCCAGGAGGACGTTTTGGTGTGCACTGATGGCTCACATTCAGGGCCAGGCTTTCCCCTGCGCATGGAGGTTGAGTCAGAACACAAAGGTAGCTCTCACCTCTTGTCCTAGAGCCAGCCACGCGCAGGGGGCAGGCTGCTACTGCTTGCAAAAGCCAACCAGCCAGGTGCTCGGCGGGCGGCAGCACTCTAGACTAAGACCCAAAAAGCACTGAGAACGGGACTTCTCTACAGCCAACGGATACTTGGTAAACACCTCCTCTGACTACAAGCCTCGCACCTGACCTGGGTCACTCAGGTGCCCAGGCCCAGGGTAAGCCCCCGGAAGCGGGGGGGGGGGTCGTTCAAAGCAACGTGGCCTCGCAGGCTTCCCTCCTTGGGCCGCTTCTGGACGCCGCCAACTCCCAGCAACTCCCAGCTCCTCAAGACACACCAGGAGTCTCTCACTCCATCCTTACAAGCCAGCTGCAACAGCGTTCCATTGCGTGTCCACCTCCAAGAACTGCCCAGATCCCGCTGGCACCTCCGAGAACCGCGGGACAGCCCTCCGCGGCAGCCGGGAAAGAAGCGGCCCGAGCCGGGGACACGGCCGGCATGCGGGGACCCCTTCCGTCACGGAGCCCACCCGAGGGCCTGCGGACGGGTGGAAAAGTCATCGCCAGCGAGCGAGGGCCACTAACGTGCGCATGACCCTTCCCGAACCTGCGGCTTCCGGCATCGAGCACGGTGGGCCAGGGGCAGCGGAGGCTGGCTGGGGACTGCGGGGCGGGAGGGCCGAGCAGCGGGCGTCGGGCGGCCGCGGGGTCGTGGCTGCCGGTGGGCACCGAGGGCCTCCGACGCCGGCCGCGGCGCTCGGCCCAGAGACGGCGGCCCGGGCCAAGGTCACACAGCGCCCGCGCCCCGGCCCGAGCCGCTTCCCTCGCGGCGCCCCGGCCGTGCGGGCCCGGTATCTCCGGGAGGCCCCCGCGCCCGGGCCGGCTTCGCGGACTCAGTTTCCCTGAGGGGCCGGGCCGAGCCGAGCCGGGCCGGGCGGGGGCGTGGCGGCCGGGCCGCGTACCTGTGGAAGGAGACGGCGCGCTTCTCGCCCTTGCCCTGCCGGTTGGAACAGTTCACGGCCGCGCAGCAGATCACCATCGCGGGCCTCGGCCGGCCGCGCCGCCAGGCCCCGGCCCTCTCCGCCCGCCCGCCGCCCGCGGACCGCCCGAGGGAGGGAGCGAGCAAGCGAGCGAGGGGCGCGGGCGGCGACGCGGCGAGGGGCGTGGGTGCCGCAGCCGTACGCCAAGATGGCGGCGCGGGACCCCGGCAGCCGCGCGCTCAGACGCCTCGGGGCGGCGGACGGGGCCGGCCGCTGGGGCGTCAGCGAGCGGGTGGAGGCAGAGCGGTGGCCGGGCTGGCCGGGCTGGCCGTGGCGGCGGCGCCAGCGGACGGAGAGCGAACCGGCGCGGCGCGCTGCACGGCGACATGACGCACAGGCCGTCCGTAAGGCAAGATGGCCGCTCCGGCTTGACCGCACGTGCCCCTTCCGCTTCAGGGGGCCGCGCCGGACCCTCTGAGTGAAAGAGTGTTGTGCGTGATACGATGGGATCCGTCCGCCGGCAGGGCAACCCGCCGGCCGCCCCCGCGGCACGCGGACACGAGCTGGCGGCACCCGCCGTACGCCAGTATGGCGGCCTCCTCGCTTCCGCCTGCGCGCGATTGGTCTTCGCGGCACCCCGTCGTCGCGTCGCGCTCGGCCCGTCGTGCACCGCGCGGGTCAGTCGGCGGCCGGACCGGGAAGATGGATGCGGGTGAGGACGCGGTCCCCGGGCCACTTCTCTGACACCCGCATCCCGCTGGGGCTCCCGTCGCGACGCGCTCCCCGCGCCGCGGGGGCAGCTCGGACGGGGCGGGCAGCCGAGGCGCGGGAACGCCGCCGGCGCTCTGCGGTCGGGCCGGGGCGCGGACGTTGGGGCGCGAGGCCCGGCCTGTGGCGGGCCGGCGCGGTGGCCTGCGGGCGCCCCGTCCCGCGGCGGGTGAGGCGGGCAGGGGCGTGCGGTCCAGGCTTGCTGCGGCCGAGGGAGGCCCAGGGCCGGGTTGTGTGTTGGGGAAGGCCGGCGCGGAGCCGCAGCCTGTGCGAAGCATGTGCCGTGAGGGAGTGTCCGGCCTAATGCCACAGCCTGCCCGGGGCGTGGGGTGGACTGGAGCCTGAGGCGGCGTGTGTGTTTGTGTGTGTGTGTGTGAGTGTGTCCCGTGTGGATGGCGGCCTGAGGAGGTGTGTGTGTGTGTGTGTCCTATGTGGATGGCGGCCTGAGGAGGTGTGTGTGAGTGTGTCCCGTGTGGATGGCGGCCTGAGGAGGTGTGTGTGAGTGTGTCCCGTGTGGATGGCGGCCTGAGGAGGTGTGTGTGTGTGTGTGTGTGTGTCCATCCCATTTGGATGGCGGCCTGAGGAGGTGTGTGTGAGTGTGTCCCGTGTGGATGGCGGCCTGAGGAAGCGTGTATGTGTGTGTGTGAGTGTGTCCCGTGTGGATGGCGGCCTGAGGAGGCATGTGTGTGTGTGTGAGTGTGTGTCTCCCATGTGGATGGCGGCCTGAGGAGGCGTGTGTGTGTGTGTGTGTGTGTGTGTGTGTGTGAGTGTGTCCCGTGTGGATGGCGGCCTGAGGAGGCGTGTGTGTGTGAGTGTGTCCCGTGTGGATGGCGGCCTGAGGAGGCGTGTGTGTGTGAGTGTGTCCCGTGTGGATGGCGGCCTGAGGAGGCGTGTGTGTGTGTGAGTGTGTCCCGTGTGGATGGCGGCCTGAGGAGGCGTGTGTGTATGTGTGTGTGTGTGTCCCATGTGGATGGCAGCCTGAGGAGGCGCATGTGTCCATCCGCTTGGATGGCAGCCTAAGAAGGCATTTCTAGTGTTCCACAGGTGCCACTCAGGAGGATGGGGTGTGGTCCAAATGACATCTTGGTAGGATTCCCAAATGCTGTTGCTTGCAGGGTCAGTGTAGGTGAGTGTCTTGGAGGCTTCTGGTGATGCCCGCATGTGGTATCTTGCACTGTCAGTGGTAACTGGCACAACTGGTCCCTTTAGTATTATCTTAGGCATAAGAAAGAAAGAGTGCCCTCTATTAACAAGCAGGGCTTTCCAGAATACATCGTGTTGGCAGAAGCATTTTCAGAATGGGATACTTCACAGTCAGTTCTAGGAGAAACTTAGTTACATATTTTGTGCATCTTCCTGGATAATTGGTGTGGTGCTAAGTGGAGAAACTCTCAAAACTGTAGGCCAATTATTTGTTTCTATATTTAGTCACATTCTCTTTTTTCGAATTAAAACCTTTGGCTAGGGATCCTGGAGACTGGTACTCCTTCCCTCCTCCCTTTCTCTTTCCCTCCTTCAGTCAAGATTTTGGAAGACAGGCCTAAAGGAAAGACCAAGAGATCATCATCTTCTTCTTTTTTTTTTTTTTTTTTTGTTTTGTTTTGTTTTGTTTTTAACATCTATTTATTTTTATTGCAAAGTCAGATATACAGAGAGGAGGAGAGACAGAGAGGAAGATCTTCTGTCCAATGATTCATTCCCCAAGTGACCACAGCAGCTGGTACTGCGCCGATCCGAAATCAAGAACCAGAAGCTTCTTCCAGGTTTCCCACACGGGTGCAGGGTCCTAAGGCCTTGGGCCATCTTCATCTGCTTTCCCAGGCCACAAGCAGGGAGCTGGATGGGAACTGGGGCTGCCGGGATTAGAACCAGCGCCCGTATGGGATCCCAGCGTGTTCTAGGGCAAGGACTTTAGTTGCTAGGCCACTGTGCCGGGCCCAGCCAAGAGATCTTCTATCTGCTGGTTCACTCTGCAGATGGCCACAATGGCTGGAGCTGAGCCAGTCCGAAGCCAAGAGCCAGAAACCTCTTCTGGGTCTCTCACATGGCACAGGGTCCGAAGGGTTTGGGTTGTCTTTGTTTCCCAGGCCACAAGCAGGGAGCTGGAAGGGAAGCCAGGCTGCCAGGATTTGAACCGGCGCCCATATATGGGATCTCGGTGTGTGCAAGGTGAGGATTTTAGCCATTAGGCTAACACACTGGGCCTGGACCCCCCCCCCCCTTTTTTTTTCTCTTAAGATTCATTTATTTTTATTGGAAAGGTGGATTTACAGAGAGGAGGAGAAACAGAAAGATCTTTCATCTGCTGGTTCATTCCCACCGTGACTGAAACTGAGCTGAGCTGAAGCTAGGAGCCAGGAGTTTCTTCCCGGTCTCACACTTGGGTGCAGGGTCCCAAGGCTTTGGACCATTCTCTACCGCTTTCCCAGGCCACAAGCAGAGAGCTGGATGGGAAGTGGAGTAGCCAAGATGTGAACTGGTGCCTACATATGTGATCCTGGCACCTGCAAGGCAAAGATTTAGCCACTGAACCATTGTGTGGGACCCTGATTTTGTTTTTTTAAGGTTATTTATTTCTTTGAATGGCAATGTTAGATCATCTGCTGGTTCACTCCTCAGGTGCTTGCAATGGGTAGGAGCCCGTGAAGAGCCAGGAACTTCATCTGGGTCTCCCATGTGGGCAGGATCCCAAAGCTTTGGGCCATCCTTCTCTGCTTTTCCAGGCCATTAGCAGGGAGCTTAATGGGGAGTGGAGCAGTTGGGACTTGAACTGGTGCTTACATGGGTTGTTGGCTTTGCAGGCTGAGGCTTTGCCTGGCCCATTACAATGCTGGCCCTGAGGTGTGCCCCTCATCCCAGCAGCTGTGTGGACCGCTTCCTAAGTGGCTGTCATGAGGATGATGCGATCAGTCACAGTGAGTTTGTCAGAAAGAGGAGGAATAGCCCTTCTGTTGAGAATGCCTGAGTGGAGCTCACCTGCCAGTGCTTGGCAGTCTTGGTGGAGTCCATTATGGCCAGCCCGGGTGGTGTCCGAGATTTGTTCTTTACTTGGGCCCTTATGTCACTGGCAGAGCTGGACACCTTGTCCATATCATGGGTCGTGAGGTTCAGATGTGTGTTGCATGACACACATGTGGGCTGGCAGACTGCACACAAAGCTTTCCTAGAAGTCAGGACTTAGTGCAGCCCAGGACGTGGCTGCCACGTGCCAGCCCTTAAGTTCTGCTCAGGTGCACATGCCAGTCAGCTCTCAGGAGGAGGACTCAGGGCTAGAAGGGCCAAAGAAGGATGCATTGCTCGGTCAGGAAGAAAGCCAAAGCTGGGACACAGGCACACGGTGTAGAGGCTCCAGCTGTGAGATAGCCCATGGTTGCCTGCCCGGTTAGGTCTGTCCACTGGCCTGTGGCTTCCAAGGCCAACCAGCCCATAATCTTCGTGCTTGCTGTGGAAGCACAGGTGAGGTGAGCACTCTGAAGTCAGCGTCCTTGCCTGTGAAGTTTGCTCATAAATTTCACAAGCAAGCCTGACTTGGCACCCTTAGTAGGGTGAGCTTGTTTCCTCTTTGTCGTCAACCTGTCCACTTGCTCTGATAGTGATGGACCTTTCTGGAAAGCACAGAGAGCCCTAAGCACTTGTCTCTCCCTGATTAAATAAATATTGTCTCTTTAGCTCAAAGCTGGGGCTGAGGATCTCAGATCTTGGTGGAAGACTCCACACTAAAGACTTAAAGCAGCAGCTTCGCAGTCAGAGTTGAAGGATGGTGGGTTTGAGTCTTTTCTGGTGTGAATCTGCATGTTGCAGAGAAATTTAAGTAATGAGTGTAGCGAGATGTGTGGTGTGTGTCCCAGTGTATGTGGAACATTACCGCCCTATTGTTCCACATGTGAGTGTGGGCAGGTTCATGGTTAGATATGAGTTAAATTACCTTGGGAGCTACTGTGAGGGCCTAAGCTGGAATCTGATTCCTGACTACCCTCGCCTGTCCTCCAGAGGGTGGTGCATGGCTCAGAAACACCACACAAACTCATGATGGCTGGCTGCGATGGTGAACATGTATGTAGTGGGGATGCTGGTGCCAGCAGTCCATGATGGGGAGTATGTGTGGTGAGGAGACTGCACAGAGAGTCTTGACAATGGGCATGCTTGAAGAGTGCCCCTGCTACTGATGGCATCTGTGTTTGTTGGTAGAATACTGTTAGGGTGGTAGGAATTTGAAGGCATTGGACTTGGCGCAATAGTCTAGTGCCTAAATTCACCTTGTATGTGACAGGATCTCATGTAGGTGCTGGTTTGTGTACTGGCAACTCCACTTCCCTTCCAGCTCCCTGCTTGTGGCCTGGGAAAGCAGTAGAGGATGGCTCAGAGCCTTGGGACTCTGCACCCTCATGGGAGACCCAGAAGAAGCTCCTGGTTTCGGATTGGCTCAGCTCTGGCCGTTGTGGCCACTTGGGGAGTGAACCAGCAGATGGAAGATTTTTGTCTCTGTACCACCTTCTCTGTGTATCTCTGCCTTTCCAATTAAATAAATCCTAAAGAAATTTGAAGGCATTCTCTGTCTTACCCCAGAGTGTGCTGTGTGCATCTGCTCCTGCCCTCCTGCTGGCCACTGTTTTGGAAACAGGTGGAACACAGGCATGTGAATAGGAGGAGGCTGGACCTCTCATCCCTTCAGACAACGGATAGATGCTGTCAGCTCCTGGAAAGATGGAGTGTGGCCAAGGAGCCTGTCACCTGCAGGAGTCCCTGGTTCTTAGCACCAGCCATAGCTGAGGACTTTTTAGGGGGTTGGTCTCTGGGATCCCTTCCCACTCAGGAGTGGCAGTTGCCCACTTCTCTGCAGCCTAGATACCCTGAAGTTACTGTCTTTCCATCACAGCATCGTAGTGCATATACCTGGGTGACATCTGGTCCAAGTGAACGCCCAGGTTGGCTGACCTACACTCTGGTTTTTTGGGGGTCCTCTTCCGGTGAAGTCCAAGCATGTGGTTTTGTATCACTTTTTCTTTGGGGCTTTTTAAGTTGGGCCAGTTGTTCACCACAGCATTCTCTACCAGGCTGGATACACTGACCCCAAAGCCCGGCCTGCTGAGTGTGCAGCTTTCCCAATAGTGCTGGCAGGACAGGATGCACGGGGCTGGTATTGGGAGGTAGCTGGTCAAACCACCATCTCTGAGGACTGGTTCATGTTCCTGCTGCTTCTATGCTGATGATCTAGGAGAACGGTGGAAAACAGCCCACGTATTTGAGCCTCTGCTGCTCACATGGGAGACTGGATGGAGCTCTGGGCTCCTAGCAGTGGCCTGATCCAGTGCCAGCCATGGGAGAAGTAAACCAGGGATTGAAGATCTCTGTCTCTCCTCTGTGTGTCATTCTGCCTTCAAATAGATAAATCTTTTAGAAAAGATAATTGACATGTTATTTCAGTGCAGAAATACTGGTAATGGTCTCTTTGCTGTTACTTTATGAAGTCACAGAAGCCTGATGGCTGTCTCTTCTTCTAACAGCCACTCTGACCTATGACACCCTCCGGTTTGCTGAGTTTGAGGATTTCCCTGAGACGTCGGAGCCTGTGTGGATACTGGGGAGAAAGTACAGCCTTTTCACAGGTAGGCAGGAGCATGTGGTGGTTGTGCTGCGCACTGTGCCTCATGGCCTGTGGACTCACGGCTTTCTCTCTGTGTTCTTGCTTTAAACACCTCAGAGAAGAACGAGATCCTGTCTGATGTGGCATCGAGACTTTGGTTTACCTATAGGAAAAACTTCCCAGCCATTGGTAAGTGCCCCTGTGTGCCCAGAGTTTTTTGTTTTTGTTTTTTAAAGGTTTATTTATTTTTATTGCGAAGTCAGATATACAGAGAGAAAGATCTTCCCTCTGATGATTCACTCCCCATGTGGCCACAATGACAATAACTGGAGTTGCGCCAATCTGAAGCCAGGAGCCAGGAGCCTCCTCCAGGTCTCCCACCAGGTGCAGGGTGCCAAAGCTTTGGGCCATTCTTGACCACTTTCGTAGCCCACCAGCAGGGAGCTGGATGGAAAGTGGGACTGCCAGGATTAAAACTGGTACACTTAGGGGATCCTGGTGCGAGCAAGGCAAGAACTTTAGCTACTGGGCCACCACACTGCCCCCTCCCCCCTTTTTTGGGTAAGATTTATTTATTTATTTATTGGAAAGTCAGATTTACAGAGAGGAGGAAAGATCTTCCATCCACTGGTTCACTCCCAAGTAGCCACAATGGCTGGAGCTGAGCTGATCTGGAACCGGGAGCCAGTAGATTCTTCTGGGTCTTTCATGAGGTTGCAGGGTCCCAAGACTTTGGGCCGTCTTTGACTGCTTTCCCAGGCCATAGGCAGGGAGCTGGAAGGGAAGTGGAGCAGCCCAGTTACAGACCAGCACCCACATGGGATACCAGCTCATGCAAGGTGAGGACATTAGCTGCTAGACTATTGTGTTGGGTCCAGTCATGATGTTTTTAGGGGAGGAGACCTTGTTAGTTCCAACTTGGTTGTGCCAGATGGTTTGCTGTGATGGTCAGGCAGCCTAGCCTGGTGGTGGATGCACTGACAGCTCAGCGTGGGTATTGCCAGCATTTCCTTTCAGTATTAAGGATTATTTATGTTTTTACACATTTGAAAGGCAGAAAGAGCATATTTCGACCCGCAGAAAGAGCATATTTTAATCCCCAAATGGCCACTACAGCCTCTGGGCCAGCCAGGGATTCCACCCTGGTCTCCCGTCTGGGTGCAGGGCCCAGGCAGACCACTGCTGTGTGTGCCACTCTTCCATACACTTGTATAATCCTTGGGACCTCCATCTGGCAAACATGGTCCTTGGGTCACTGAGGTCAAACTGTGTGTGAGTCCAGACAGAGCTGACAGACAAGTGTGGCCTCTGGACTCCTGGCCTCCCGTGGGCCTTCTGACCATGAGTCTTAATCCACAACAGGAGGCACGGGCCCCACTTCAGACACAGGCTGGGGCTGCATGCTGCGCTGTGGTCAGATGATCTTCGCTCAAGCCCTGGTGTGTCGGCACTTGGGTCGAGGTGAGTGCAGCCAGGCTGGGGAGCAGAGAGGACTGTGAGAATAGGGTGTTTTAGAGTAGATGTCAAGTAAAACATAGGCCAGAGTATGGGAGCCATCCACTGGGTTCTGACGGCTGTGGGTGGTCTGGGTGCTGTTACTGTGGGAGCAGTCTGGGCGGGTGCCATTTGGGCTGGCCCTGTCGGTGGTGCGTCACCCTCATGAGCAGTGTGCTGAGGCTCCCCCCACCCAGGCCCTCCTGGAGCTGCACCCCAGATCCATCGGCATCTTTGTGAATGAGAGTAGCAGCCCCCACAAAGCTGTTCTGCGTCTGTGGGGAGTGTGGATTCCCCCCCTGCCCCGACGAGGCTAACCTGGATGTCTGTCTGCAGATTGGCGGTGGACACAGCGAAAGAGGCAGCCTGACAGCTACTTCAGTGTCCTGCATGCCTTCATTGACAGAAAAGACAGCTACTACTCTATCCACCAGATAGGTCTGATGGGGCTTCTGCTGGTCTGAGGGTGGGATGTGAGTTGAGCCCAAACCTTGCCCAGCACTGTGCTCTTATGGCCTGCAGTGGCCCTGGCCCAATGCAGAGCCTGTGAAAACTGGACTGTGGCTCGGAGTTCCTTGCTCCCGTGTGGCTTGTCTGGATCTAGGCATTCCGGTGGCAGATGTGAAGGACACCAGCTGGCCTTTACCACATGCAGGCTCAGCTCTGAGCAGTCTGCTCACCTAGGGATGACTGGATGGAAGCCTTGAGTTGCCATCTGGCCTTCCTGTTCAGTGTTCTGAGGGCACAGCATGCGGGATGGAGCCAGGTTGGTTAGGTACAAAGTGATGTTAACCTGGCTTGTCTTCCACAGCGCAAATGGGTGTTGGCGAAGGCAAGTCGGTTGGCCAGTGGTATGGGCCTAACACCGTGGCCCAGGTCCTCAAGTATGTGCCGCTTCATTCCTGCTGCATTTCCTGGGTCCCATGGTTGAGGGCAGTGAGGGACTGGAGGGCCCATGGGAGGGTCTTTGGGTCATCATGCAAGTGGTTTTGAGCAGCAGAGTTTATTTCCTAATAGAATGAACACCTTAATCTAGCATCTTAATCGTGTCCATCAAGCTGAGCTTGGACCTCTGCCTGGCTTGTTGCTCTGCCAGTAATGGGGTGTCTTGTGGTCAGAGGATGCAGCCAGTTCCCACCCTTTTTCCTCTTGCTGCCGCCCAGGCGGGGAGGTCCCCATCATTGTGCCTACTCTGGAGTTTGTCTTTTTCCTCCTGTGGGGTTCATCTCTCTTGGCCATTCTGAGGTTGTTTGTGTTAAACATCAGTTAGCATTCCCAGGTCCTAGGCTGTCGGGGGGCTTGTAGCTCTTGCAGCTCCCCACTGCCTGTCCTCCTGTCTTCCTGACTATTGCACCTCGTGCCTCATTGCCTGGGGCCTTCCTGTAGTGCATGCCCCGGTTACATGCCTTGCCAAGTGCTCTGTCCACCATGAGGTTGTCCTTCTTGACTCCTTTCCCTGGTGTATGTCCCCAGATGAATAACTCCCCACTGCCTTGGCCCCCTGTCTCTGCTGTCTATGGAGACATTTCTTCACCTTCTAACTCGGTCTCTGATGTAGCTGTAGTCAGGTGGGTTCCCTGCTGCCCCATCTGTCTGTAGGCTCTGTGGCTGTCTGGCCTATGTGTTTGGTGGTGTTGGAATATGCACAGAGCAGAGTGAGGGGGTGTGCAGTAGGGTGGGCAAATCATTGAGAGCTACAGTGGCCATGCCAAGCAAGTGTTCATTGCCCGAGAGCTCTTGCGTGCACCATGATGGGAACAGCAGCCTTTCCCTGTGTGACATTTGTGTCCTTGACTTCCTGAAGCTGGTCTTTCTTACCCAAGAAGCATTGGAGCCCAAACCACTGGGTGCCAGGATGAGTATGTGTGAGTGGTGGAAAGCTTACGGTGTGTGTCTCCCCGACTCTACCTAGGAAGCTGGCCGTCTTTGACACGTGGAGCTCACTGGCAGTCCACATAGCTATGGACAACACCGTGGTGATGGAGGAGATCAGTAAGTGGCGTGGGCTTCAGTCTATACTGTGGTGGAGAAGATCATTGAGTGGGCTAGGCATTCAGTCTACACCGTGGGAACTGGGGCGCATTGTCCCTACCTGAGCCACAGAAGAGCCTTGCTGGGGAGGGTACTGGTGTGTTGGCCACTGTACATCTGAGTGTCTTAGTCTCACAGTGTCAGGTCACTCCACTGCAGTGATGGGACCTCTACACCCTTGTCATCTTGTGGGACTTAACTTTGGGCAGAGTGACCCTGATCCTGGCCCCTCAGGGTGTGGTGCTTTGTGCTCCCTACACAAATAGGAGGAGGCTCCGCATTTCTTCCTTATGCCTTTCCCTTTCTTCTGTTTTGAGTCTTTTTGTGAAACATGGAAAATTTTGGAAAAGCACAAACAAATGACAAGATCCCTGAGTACATAGTGGGTAGGCCCACTGCCTTTAACACCCATGTCCTGGCTGTTCTGCTTCCAACCCAGTTCTTTGTGATCAAGCCTCAGAAACAGCAGGGGTGGCTCGACTCCCTGAGCCCTGCCACCTCCGGAGAGACCAGGATTGAGCTCTGGGCTCCCAGCTTTGGCCTCGCCCAGCCCTAGTGCTGCAGCCCTTTGGGGCGTGAACCAGGGATGGAAGATCTTTTCTCTGTTACTCTACCTTGCAAGTACATTTTTAAAAATCTTTAAAAAAAAAAAATTCATGAATGTTTGACACTCTTCCAATGTTTTCTTTGTGCTTTTCATAAACTTGTTGCTGTTGAAGCTATCTCATTAACTGGCTACTCCATAAACAAGGACACACCTGCCCTTCATTTTTTCCCTGGCATCGGAAAACCACTTCGCCCTGTCATCTACCATACTCACAGTCTAGAGTTTTTGTTAATCTTACTATTTTCAGGGCAGAGATATTTTTCAACCTCCCTCTCACTCCCCAAATGTAGAAGCGTCTGGGGCAGGCTGAAGCCAGGTTCTCCCGTGTGTGTGGCAGGAACCCAAGCCCTTGGCCATCACCTGCTGCTTCCTAAGGTGTGTGTCATAGCAGGAGCTGGGGTCAGAGGTGGGGCTGAGAGACCTAAGAGACCCTGAGACTGGAGTCCTAACACAGAGTTTGGTGTCCCAGGAGTGCCAAGAAGGGGCAAGGGTCAAACTACTTACAGCTCCTCCTTTTGCCTGCTTTTGTTCATTGGAGGAGGGAGACCTGCCAGGGGGCTTCATGACTGTGTGGTCCCTGACTTTCATCTCCTGAGGTCTCAGTCATCCAGGGAGGCTGTGGTAGAGCTGTGTTTTACATATGAATGAAGGGCTTAAAGAGGAGGTGGTGGGTCTTGGGGAGCAGGACCTGAGTCTGCTTTTTTTTTTTTTTTTGAGCAAAAGATAAATTAATTGAAATATGGAGGGCGAGAGAGCTTCTGTTCACTGGTTCACTCCCCCAAGTAATGCAATACCTAGAGCTGGACCATGCTGAAATTAAAAACAAGAAGCTTGTCCTAGTTTACTATCTGAGGACCTTCACCTGCCACCCCTCAGGCACCAGAAGGACCTGGCTGGAAGCAACACTCCTGGGCTGGGCCTGCTGTGCCCCAGTGCTGGTCACTGAGTCCCCAGGATGTGGCAGGACACTTGGGCCTAGCAACATCTTGGTCAGAGGAATGGTGCTTCTCATTACAGGGCTGGGGAGGATCCAGTTTCTGAATCTAGAGGGACAGAGTTAGAACATGGTTTGCAAGGATGCTGGGACTGACTTCCCCTCACCCCCACTCACCCTGGCCTCCTGCGCACAGTTGTGTGGGTTACGTCTGGGACAATCCTAAGTGCCCCTTGCTGTTGCCTTTGGTATGCAGAACCCTAGGAGAGGTGCAAACAGAAGGTGAGCTGCTAGAAGCTGCCCGGTGTGACAGGCCTGGAAAGAGGGCACCCTGGCTCAACCAGGGCTCTAGTTCCTCGGAACTGTTTGTAGGAAGACCCCTAAGAGGGGCCGGGAACTGACCATGGCCCCATTTCCTGTGGAGGTCCTGTGCTGACTGCACCTGTTAAGCGTGGAGGCAGAGGGTGCTGAACACAGGAAGGCATTACTGGTTGGAGGCCAGTCCTGGCATCCCCAGCGGATCTGTAGCCTTTCCTGTTGGAAGGGTCAGACCCTCACAGCTATAGCAGACAGAGGAGCTTACGTGGAGGATCAGTGAGGAGAGGAGAAGAACTCCCTGCTGTGGGCCTGGGTGGAGTCCCTGGTCGCTGCTGAGGAAAATCTGGGTGGTTTATCAGGAAGACATAATGCTGGTCCTGAGCAGCCGTTGGCTCCCTGTGCAGGGGGTAGAATGCAGACTGAAGGGTTGTTTGCTCATTGGATGAGCAGCACATTCAATGCAAGGGACACTGGCCGATGACCAGTGGTCCTTGTGATCTGATGGGTAGGGGGTGTCTAGCACTGTGGTTAGGCCCTTACTGGGATTCTTACATTCTGGGTCTCACACCCACTTGTGTTTGTAGCTCTGTCCTGGGAGGCAACTGGGAGGACTCGAGAGCACGGATTCCTGGCTTCAGCCTGGCCTAGCCCCTGCTTTCACTGGCGTTTGGGGAGTGACCAGCTGATGGAAGATCTCTGGAGGTTTGCCTTCCTGAGCATAGTAGACCCCACAGGTTCTGCCTCCTGGCCCTGCCAGAAGCATCTCCTGAGGTAGAGGAGGGTCATGTACTACCACAAACCTTTTCCACCAAGACACAGTGAAACCAGATGTTTGCACATAAAGGGAGAGTGTGACAGGACTAAAAACAGCAAGAGGGGAGGTTCCAGAAAGAAATGCTGGAGCTGATGCCTGATGAACTGTCTGTAGGAATTAGAGCTGAGACACATGTTGGGTTTCTTGGCATCGAGAAGCCAAAATCACCACTCAACACATCAGGAGTCACACAAGAGATTTTATTGTCAGGTAACTGACAATGACCATCCCCAGGAGAAAAGGAGAATGGTGGCTGCTGCTGTGGAGAGGGGTTTATATTGAGTTTAAAATGGTGCAAATGAGGATATAATCCTGATTGGCTGGGAGTGTGGCGCAAATGTGGCTGCAGTCCTAATTGGCTGGGAGTGCGTGCTTTTCTTAAGGCTAAGGGTCTTGGTGAGCATGGGGAATTCTGAAAGATATGGAACTAGGTGGGATGAAACTTTGAGCACAAGAAGGCAAGACCCAAACACAAGGAAGTGAAACTTTAACTCTTAAGAATGCATGACTCCTGTCAAGATCATGCCCCTATAACACTCTCCCCAAGTCCTGTCTCCCAAGCTATCTGGACAAAATTTCAGCAGCAGCCCCCACTGGCTCAGGAGGTTCCCACCTTGACCACTATGCAGGGGCTTCCTGGGGGGTGCTATCCTGTTTGCTGGTTCAAGAGTCCAATGCTGGTGTGCAGTGACCCCGTTTCTGTGGTGTCCTGTAAATTAGAAAGTTCTCCCTCCCTTGAGGCTTGCACAGCGTCAGCGTGTCTGAAGAATTGGGTGACCCTTCCCCCGATTTATATGTTTGTTTCTGGATGGTTGATGGGGGTCATCTGGCTGGGGGGAGATGGTCAGGGAGGTGTCCTGGTGTTGGTGGCTCTGTCATTGAGCCCCCTTGGATTGCTCAGGTGTCATTTTTTTGGGATGTGAATGAATCATCAGGGCCAGCCAAGATGCGTTGGTGGGATTTATAAGAAAGAGGTCCCCGACTTGTGTCTTACTCCCTGTTTACCGAGGGGCATTACCAAACAGGGTTCCCTCCACCCTGCCCCATCTTTACCAGGAAAAGGTCATGGATTCTGATTTATCTGCTGAGTTAATGGTGGTTGTTGTTCTTTAACTCATTAGACAGACAGTGCTGCTACCCCAAACACTTACAACAGCCGGGACTGGGCCAGGTCAAAGCCAGGAGCCCAGCTCTCCCATATGGAGGCAGGGACCCAGCCACTCTGGTGTGGGGCTCAGGCAGCCTGCCTGGCAAAGGAAGCCCCTGCCACGCTTCTGCCAACTGGAGTAGAGTGCTGAGTCTCTGCACTTGGGCAGGTTGGGAAAGGAAGGAGGAATTGCCTCCTTTCCTGCTAAGGGAGGAGAGGAGGCGGCTGTGGGGCTGTGAATGGTCAGGAGGTCCCCCAGGGGTTCCTCTTAGCTCTCTGAGTGTGCTGCATTTAAGAAGGTTCAGAATGGAGTATGTATAATACTGTTTTTTTTCTAGGTATTTGGATAAAATATTTCCTTTTTGTGCTTCTATTCTCTAAATTTGAGTTGTTAAGCACACTTTTTTGCTAGTACACAGCTCTTGGCCCACTCCTTTGGGGAGAATCCTGTCTGGTTCTATATGGTCTGAGAACATGTCTTGCCTCCCCAGGAAGGTTGTGCAGGACTGGTCTTCCCTGTGCAGGGGCAGCTGCCCCACCTGCTGGCACTGACTGGCAGTGCAATGGGTTTCCTGCGGGTGCTGAGGTGACCAGTAGGCCACCGTGGAGACCCCTGGTACTTCTCATCCCACTACGCCTGGGGCTCACGGACATCAACGAGGCCTACGTGGAAACTCTGAAGGTGAGCCATGGGAATCCATGTCAGCAGAAGGCTAAACCCGCCGTTTGTCGGGGTGGCAATTGGTGTGAGGGTGGGACTTGGTCTTGGGCCTTCCTGGCTCAGTGTTTGGGACTGCCCTTCATCCCATTCTTTATCCCGGTTGGTCAAACTCAGTAGTCATTAGCGTGCTCCCTCCCTGGCACCCTGCCCTGCTGTCTATCTCCACAGCCCTGTTCTTAGCCTGTGGTGTGCATTGCATTCGCCTCCCTGGATTCCACTTTGTACTGCCCCACTGGGGTGTCTACTTGGCTGGCAGTGGTGTGCTGGCATGCTGTATGCAAGGCCAGAGTGGTTAGTGCCTGCCCCTCTCCCAGCATTGTTTCAGGATGCCCCAGTCTCTAGGAGTGATTGGAGGGAAGCCCAACAGCGCCCACTACTTCATTGGCTATGTGGGTGAGTCTTGTCCGCTGGGCAGAGGTGTGGTGGGCCTTCTCTTTCTCCCGTCTCCTGGCTCAGAGCTGTCTGCTGTGTCCAACCCAGGAGAGGAGCTTATCTACCTGGACCCCCACACGACTCAGCCAGCCGTGGAGCTGACAGACAGTTGCATCATCCCTGATGAGAGCTTCCACTGCCAGCACCCTCCATGCAGGATGAACATCGGGGAGCTTGACCCGTCCATTGCTGTGGTATGTCGCACCCAGTGGCCATTCAGAATGAAAAGGGAAACCTTAGTTTTTATGTACTTACTTGTTTTAATTGGAAAGGCAGATTTTAGAGAGAAGAGACAGATCTTTCACTCTCCAAGAGCTGAGCCGATCAATGCCAGAAACTTCTTCCCGGTCTCCCACGTGGATGCAGGGTCCCAAGGCTTTGGAACCTCAGGCCATAAGCAGGGAGCTGGTTGGGAAATGGGGCAGCTATAACTTGCATGAACCAGTGCCTGTATGGGATCCTGGTGCTTGCAGGGAAAGGATTAGCCAGCTGAGCCATTGTGTTGGGCCTGAAAGCCTTGGTCTAGTTAGCATTTTGGTTTGCATCTAAAAGGCAGAGTTCTCTCTCTGATCACTCTGGTCCTCCTCAGAGACACTGCTTCCACGATGGCATTCACGGCCTCTGCCACCCAGAGCACACGTGTGAATGATAATGTGTAAGCATGTGTGTGAATATAAGGCAGCAGTTGAGGTGTGAGTACTAGCTTGTGTTCAGTGATGAGTGTGTGGACTAGTTTGTGGTGAGTGTGTGTACCAGCTGGTGTTATATTGAATGTTGAGGGTGTATACTAGCTGGTAGCGAATGGTGGGTGAATGGCACTGTTCCCAAACATGGTTTCAAACCTGAGTGGTGCCTTAGACCCACTTCTCTTTCTACCTTTTAAGTCTTGCTGCCCACTTTTGGTAACCCAATTGGGGAGCATACCCTCTGCCCCTTGCCACCCAGAACTGGGGAATGATCACACAGCTCCATTCCAGAACATGCACTCTGCTTGCCTTGCTTGGTGAACCTGGGGAGGGTGGGCTGTAGGTGCCTTGTCTGCAACCGAGAATCCATGTCTGGTGAGCTGGAACATCAACATCAGCTGAAGTGAAGTGGGCATGGCACCGAGATCTTGAGCACAGTCCTGCCCTCTGATATTAGGGTCAGGGATGTGTAGAAACACCCTTGATGACTCCATTCTGGGTGTGGAGGGCTATATTCCTGCAGCCCCAGAAGGCCAGAAGACATCTGCAGGGTGCAGATGTCAGTGGCCCTGAGGGGCTAGGGCATCAAAGACCTGCTGTCCGTGGGCTGACCTCAGCCTTGGGCTCCTGCTGCTTGCTAACGGCCCTTTCATTGCAGGGGTTCTTCTGTAAGACTGAGGATGACTTCGACGACTGGTGCCAACAAGTCAGGAAGGTCTGTGGCCTCCTGGGCAGACTGGCAGTGGTTGGGCGGGGCCACGAGGATACACACTGGATGTTAACTTCCACAGGGCTTATGTTCCAATTTCATCCAATGTGGGTGCTGGAGGCAGAATGTCCTGGTTCCTTCAACAGCAGCCAGGGGTCAGCTTGCTGCGGTGCTGCCAGGGGCCAGGCCTATCCTGAGCAGGTGGAGTTCTTGCCACCGCCATTTGCTGTTTAGTGTCATGGCGTAGCAACAGCTTACTCCATGCTGCTGGTTGCTCTAGGGGTGAGGCATGCTGATGCATGCATGGCTCCTGACAGCCTTATCTTTCTACAGCTGTCCTTGCTGGGAGGCGCCCTGCCCATGTTTGAGTTAGTGGAGCAGCAGCCGGCTCACCTTGCCTGCCCTGATGTTCTGAACCTGTCCCTAGGTGAGTGTGCTGCCCTGGGTGCTGTTCACCTCTGCTCGACCTGGTCTTGGACATTTGGACCTCGGCACATGCATGGATTCCAGGCATTGCCTTGCAGCATCCCCACCTCTAGCCCTGAGTTGGGCAGAAGTAGAATACTACCTTGTGGTGACCACCTGTCCAGGGCACTGTGGAGTAGACTGTTCCCTGTAAGACAGCAGATGGGCCAGAAGATGCCTACCATGGGGTGGTGTTCCTTCCAGGGCTTTGTCCTCCTCTGCAGGCAATGTTGGTTCTACTCACCTCTCTGAGTACCTTTGCCCCCCTTTTAAAGATTTAGAAAACTAGAGGGGAAAAAAAAGGTAGGGAGGACTGGGGCCAGTTCTAATCCCTGTGACCCAGCTTTCCCATCCTGCTGTTTGTGGCCTGGGAAAGCAGTGGGACTGACCATTGTGGTCACTTGGGGAGTGAATCATCAGATGGAAGATCTTCCTCTGTCTCTCCTCCTCTCTGTATATCTTTCCAATTAAAAGAGAGAAAAAAATCATAGGGGCGCAGTGCTGTGTCTCAACTGGCTGATCCTCTACCTGCAATGCCCTTACGGCCCCTGTTCATGTCTCAGCTGCTCTGCTTCCCACCCAGCTTCTACTTCTGGCAAATAAATCTTTAAAAGAAAGATAATCACCAAGAGAGACAGACCCTCCACTCTGCTGTTCAGCCCCGATGGTCAGCATTCAGCTTGGCTGAAGTAGGAACCCACCCAGGACTCCCATGTGAGAGAACAACCCAGAGAGCAGAATCCTTCCCTAGGCCTGGAGCAGGGAGTGGACTGGGACAGCAGATGGCATGTAAACTGGCCCCTACACTGGATGTTGCAGTTGCATTGCCAAGCCTGCTTTCCTCTTAAGGAGCCTGTGGACTCCTTTCTGCTCCCCTCTGATAATCTGCCTGGGCTCTGTCAGGGGGCACCAAGTAAGAGCCTCTTTACCACCCTGTCCCCAGAGCAACAAGGAAATGTCTTGTTCCTTCTAGAATCTTCTGATGCGGAGCGACTGGAAAGATTCTTTGATTCAGAAGATGAAGACTTTGAGATCTTGTCCCTTTGAGAATCCTCTGGTCACTGGATGCCGAGTGTTGGCTCTGCTGGAGCACCGTCCGCCTGCCCACCTGTGCCCTGGGAAGCACGTGCCTGCCAGAGGAGCTGTCAGAGGTCCCTGCTCCACCTGGCTGTTCTCGTCGGCTTCTGTGCTGCTGCTTGCTGGAGCCCAGGCCTCTGGTTGGTTGGGAATTAAAGCCTGGTTCAAAGTTGCTCCAGACACGAGTTTGAGCCCGTCCCAGTCATGGGTGGAAGCTCTTCAGGCTGGCACACAAGGGACGTGGTGGCGGCACCAGGACCTTGGTTTTGTGTGGTTTCTCAAGGATTACCTCGTGGGAGACTGGGTTTAGTGTGTCACAGCACGAGCCATGTGGGATGGTCAGAGCAGGCTACCTGCCTACACTGCATGGTGGCTTATGTCCCACTCATGTCCTGTTATTTTCTGTATTTTGGAACCAAAGGTATGGTCTTGGACCTGCATTACTTGAGCAGCATGAGTGTCTCTCCTGGGAGAGTTGCTTTCTGTGCACTCACAGATTGTAGATGGATGGGGTGCTCAGCAGAGGACAGCTGGACTGCTACCCAGGACCAGAGCTGTGTGTGGCCAGTAGTTCTGGCCAGACCAGTGAGCAGCAAAGAACTCCCCAAACAAGTCTAATTTATTTTCTCTTCCACATTTCCTCTTTGCCTCCCTCATCCTCTACAAGTGGAGCAGCAGGCAGTTAGGGCTGTTCCCACTCTCCCAGGGTCTCCCTGCAGCCTCTGCTCCAGCCCGGCCTGAGGGGAGCTCTGTGGTCAGGAAAACCCTGACTTCTCAGTAGTATAGGCTGCTGTTCTCAATGATAAATAATAAAATTTCAGTAGAAAACATTTGTATGTCTTGATTTTTCCAGAAGAAAACAAGCGACACATCCTGTAAAGCCAAGTCCCCTTCTCTGCTCTCAGGCTGAGTGAGCGCAAGGATACAGGGCCAGCAGCTCTGCTGGACTCTTGAGGTGTCCCTCACTCTGCAAATAAGGCTTGCACCTCCCTGGGTTGCTCCTGAGATGAGGGCTGCTGCTCTGCCACCCTCACAGTTCTAAGTCTGGAGGACTGCAAAAACCCTGCCCATGCCAGCTGAAGTGTCATGGGGGGCCCTGCTCCCAGTTCCCTCTGCTCCACTCAGAATTTGGCTCCTTGGGGCTGGCAATGAGTTAAGCCTTGTCCTGTGGCTTGTGACCCAGCCTCTGCATTCACATGGGGGACCCTCAGTGGCACTCCTGGTTTTGGCCCAGCCTGGCCCAGCCCAGTCCAGCCCGGCCCATAGCAACCATTTGGGGAATGGGCCAGCCAAGAGGCGCTCTCACAGTCTACATTTCAATAAATCTCAAAAACAGGTTCTTGAGGCACACTTAGTGGGGCCAGGACATTGCCAGGGGCAGAGTTGATACTTTGGGTGAGCCCACCTACCAGCACTTTATTCTAGGAACAGGAAGGCAGTGACTTCTGGAAGAAGCAGGGGGACACTCCTGTCAGATGGTGTAGCTGGCACCCCTGGCCTGCAGGGGTCAGCTCCTGGAATAGGTCTGAAGTCAGGTCTGTATGCCCTGTGGGGATGGCATGGGCTCACTTCCACAGTTCTCCCAGTGGCCCCCAAGCAGCACAAGCGATGGCTTCCTCAGAGAGCACACGGATTTCCTCATGAACATCTTCAATGCTTCTGGAAGCATCCACCGTCTGCCAATTGAGGAAGAGATGTCCATTACCAATGCCCACCAGACCTCCCACTCCTGGCCCCCAACAGTGACAGAGCTGCCTGGGCAGAACCTACAGCCCAAGGTTCCGTAAGGCAAATGGAAGATTCTGGACAAGGCCTGCCCTTTTGGGGAGTGAACTCTGTTGTGCCTGTCAGGTGGATGGGTGGGGCTAGCAGGGAATCCTTCAGCTGTTTGCGCTGCAGTCCCCTGGCAGAACCTGCAGCCCTTCCATGTCACTGACAAGGGATTCGTGAGGCAGGGCAAGTGGCACCACAGACCACAGCTGGCTTGGTGGAGGAGCTGTCTGGGCCAAACTGCGAACTGGATAGTGCAGGCTGGATCTCCAGCTACTATGTGCAAGGAGCACAAGCAGTGTGTCCAGCTGGGGGCGAGTTGGGATCAGGGAGGGTGTGCTGGACTGACTCCTAGACAGGGTGAATGTGCCTTCACTCCCACTGGGTGAGGAATGGGGATAGGCAAGGGCCCCAGGGCCAGCACACCCCCCAGGACACTGCCACCAAGGGTCAGCCACAATATGCAAAACTGACCAGTGAGGAATGCTAAGCACCTTAAAATGGTTACCCTGGGGACTCCCAAGACCTCACTAGAGACCAGCAGTCCAAATGCTGCTGGCAGAGGTGGAGCTGGGTGTCCCTCCCAGTGGGCGGTCTGGGGCTGAGCCCAAAGTTCCAGCACCCACCTTCCAGTTGAGGCTCGTGTCACTCATGAGCTGCTGGAAACGCTCCAGTGCCTGCTCCTGGAAGGCCCTGCTCTCATATCGCTCAAGGCCAAACTCTCCCCGAGCAGCAGCCTCTGCCAGCTGCAACTGCAGGAAAAGCACCAGGTCGGGTTTGGGGAGGCCCACGTCCGGCTGTTTGCACCACTCCAGGGAGAAGTTCTGCCGACAGAGTGAGGTATGAGCGAACAATCCTGGCGTCCACCGGGTTCTCCCAACTGACCACTGTGCTGAGTCCTGCCAGCTCAGGGAACAAGGCCACAGCCACCAGCAACCTGTCTTGTTCTGAGTAAGTCCTTCACATGAAGCTTCAACTAGCAAAACAAAGTGTTAAAGGAAATCACAGCAAGCCCCATGGCAAGTGGAATGCTGCCTGTGAGATCCACATTCCTAGAGTCTTGGCTGCTCCACCTTGGATCTAGCAGGGCAAGGGCCCAGCACTAGGACCCCTGCTGTCCGGGCCTAACCCGGCTATTGTGGCCACATGAGTGAACCAGTAGATGGAAGTGCTCTCTCCCTTTCTGTTGCTTTGCCTTTCAAAACTAAAAGTAAATTCCTTTGTAATTAATCACCAGGAGCATACCACATGAGAGCCCAGTGACCCTTACAGTGGCTTTGCTAGACTGTTCCGCCATGTTCTATGAGGGAGGGAAGGGGGCCCTCTGTTCTTTGCTACACCTCCAATTCCACCAAACCAGCTGGACACAGCGCAGTAACCAGGCAGCTTGTAGGCCAGGGTGAGTCACTCCCTGGGCGGGCCCTGAGCTGATCACGAAAGAGCTGCCCTGTGATGCACAAAAACCACGCCACTGTAGGACTCATGAGAGTCCTGGGGCTTGTTTACTGCTGGCAGGTGTCCCAAAGCTGTGCCGTCTCCTTACCACAACAGTGACTCAGGGACTTCCTGGGAGCCAAGGTGGTCAGGAGGCTCAGGCTCCAGACGCCTGGACAGTGATCGACTCAAGGTGCCCTGGGGTCAAAGCTGCAGGTGGCCACCCAAAGCGCTAATCAGGTGCTCACGGCTCCTCCTAACACACCTGAGAGCAGCCTGGGAGACTCCTACATCCCTGCTAGTCTGCCCTTCTCTTAGGGAGCTAACTCTTCCCATTCGGAGCACATGGCCACAACAGGTGTAGGCTCTTTCAACTGATAAAAACTATGCTGAGCCGAGATGAAGGGGCAAAAGGGAAACTCGCAGAACCCTGAGCTTGTGTGGACAAGGGAGGCTGCCCGGCTGCACTCACCTCCTTGGCGCTGGTGAAGGCGACACCAGAGAATGCATATCTGTCCACGACAAGGTTCACACCCTGGCTCAGCTTCTCCTTAATGAATGGCCTGGAAGACAGGACATGCCCGAGTGCTCCGGCGCCCCTCCTGTGGGGATCCCTACAGGACTGCCCAAGCCCTCTGCTGCCCCTCATGTGCACCGAAACTGGCAGGACTACCCAATCCTTCCCCTGCTCCTGGCACACACTGACCCCAACAGGACTACCCAAGTCCTCCGCTGCCCCTCACACACAACGACCCTGACAGGACCACCTAAGTCTTCCCCTGCCCCTAGTGCATGCCAACCCTAACAGGACCATGGCCTCTTCAGCCAGGTTCTGGTTGTCCCGTAGCAAAGCCCAGCGTGGATGCCAGTGAGGTCTCTTAGTAGCCACAAAGGGCATGGACATTACCAGCAGATAAACTGTCTCCATGCGTGAGCTCCAAGGATGGGAGGAGACCAAGGACAGCCTCCATGAACTGCCTCAGGCACACCCACAGCATCAGGATGTACAGAGTGGCCTTTATTCCAGGCCAAGTCCCTCTCAGTTTATCTCATCAACAACCTTTGCATGCAGGTATGGCCAGAGAACAGCCAGCAGACATCAGACCTCCCAGTCTCCCTGAAGCTCAAAGTGCATGCACAGCTGTGAGGCGGCCAACAGAAATGGCCATCGCACAACAGTTCAGACAGAGCAGCCCACAAGCCCAACTGACAATTCCGCAGTTGGGAGAGTGAGGCAAGCCTGTGATGGAGACAGCGTGTATCACAGGCGTCTGATGAGATGGTCACACAAAACACAAAGACACAGCCACCAGCGTTGCAGTGCTGGGTCAGGTCCACAGGCCAGGCAAGCTTCCCCCCTGACCCTGGGAAGCAGTGGATGATGTGCTAGGTACATGGGCCCCGGCACCCAGAGTGGGCCAGTGCAGTCACCGAGACACAAAACGCTCTGCACTGCTGTTCTACCTCCCACGTGAGACAGGAACGGGCCTTGTTAGGCAGCGCTGCCAAAACACAGAGCCGGCAGCAGGTCAGGACCCCACAGCCATGCGGCCAACCTACAACTGACGGCATCCCCATTCCAAGGACAGGAAAAGGTGACAATGGAGGTCTATACACACATTGCAACAGCCTTACGAACAAGCAGCTAAGATGTCCTGTTGTGTAACTCAGTCACTCCTAAGAAGGAATGAACTCCTTGTGCACTGTTGCATGGCAGGTTAAGCATTCTGTATGGGTACCAGTTCCGGTCCCGGATGCTCCACTTCCCATCTAGCTCCCTGCTGACAGCCTGGGAAAGCAGCAGAGGATGGCCCATGTCTTGGGCTGCTGAGCCCATGTGAAAGACCTGGAGGAGTCTGTTGGCTCCAGTTTGGCAAAGACAGCCAACCGGGGAACGAGTCAGCAAATGGAAAAGATCCATCTCTCCTTCCAACTCTGCCTGTTTAAAAAAAGCCACATGGGGGGAGTGATGCAGGCTCCAGGTGACACCGAACCCCCTTGCTCAGTGACTGGGCAGAGCCCCTCTGGAGAATCCTGCAGTGAAAGGAACAGGCAACACCAGCCAGGCCCCAAATCCTAGCTGGGGGCGCCTGACGACAGTTAAACCAGGGCTGGCATTGTGGCCCAGCAGGGTAAGCCACCGGCAGAGTTGTGGGTGCTGGTTCTGGCCTCGGCTGTTCCACTCCTGACCAGGCTGCCGCATTCAGCTGGGAGAAGCGAGGTCGGCCCTGCAACTGCGTGGAGACATGCAGGAGGCTCCTGGCTCCTGCTACCATTTAGGGAGTGAACCACCTCATGGAAGACCTCTCTCCTCTCTGTAAATCTGCCTCTCAGGCATAAAAAAAAAAAAAAGGAGGGGGTGGGAGAGTCAGCCTGAGCTTCCATTTAGGACACGGAGTGTCGGCGGATTCTACCTTCTAGCTAACCTCTCTACACCTAAGCCTTAAGAAAGGAGGCTGCCGGCCGGCCGCGTGCCAGCCTCGACCTCCCCGGTGCCCGCGCGACCATTACACTCGCTCCCAGCGGTTGGCCGAGAAGAGCAGGTGCACCGAGTGGTCCTCCATGTCGCTCTTCTTCTCCAAGTAGGAACTCAGCAGCTTGCCGATCTCGGTCGATCTCTCTGTGACAAAGGGACGCAAGGGTCAGCCTTCCCGCCTAGGTCCGCATAGTCTCACTAGGAGGTTCCGAGACGGGGCCCGCGGACGCAAAGCTGCCATCGCAGGCACCATTTGGGGACCCCTCCCCGCACCCCAAGTCGGGGCGACATCCTGAGGGGGCTGAGCGCCGAGGAAGCCCCCACGAAGGCGCGGCGGGGCGCACCCACCCGGGAAGCGTAGCAGCTCGGCGCGGTGGCCCGCGGTGCGGAGCGCGGACACCAGCCTGTGGCTCTGCGTGGTCTTGCCGGACCGGTCCATGCCCTCCAACACGATGAGCGCCCCGCGCCGGCCCGCCATCCTTGCCGCCGCCACGCCGCGAGCCTCCCGCCTGCTCTTCTCAGCATCCGCAGCACGCGCCGCCATTGGCTGAGAGTCGACGGCGGCCGCAGCACGCGCTACGATTGGCGGAGGTGCGTGTGACGCCAGAGCCCGGCCGGGGCGGGGCCAGTCCCTGCGCCTGCGCCCTGGGCCGCGCGCCGTGTGGCGGCCGCGCCTGCGCCCTGGGCCGCGCGCCGTGTGGCGGCCGCGCCTGCGCCCTGGGCCGCGCGCCGTGTGGCGGCCGCGCCTGCGCCCTGGGCCGCGCGCCGTGTGGCGGCCGCGCCTGCGCCCTGGGCCGCGCGCCGTGTGGCGGCCGCGCCTGCGCCCTGGGCCGCGCGCCGTGTGGCGGCCGCGCCTGCGCCCTGGGCCGCGCGCCGTGGCGGCCGCGCCTGCGGCCTGGGCCGCGCTACCTTGCGTCCTTAGCTCCCTGTCAGCGCGGTGGAGACGGGCGACGTGGCTGGCGGGGCGCGAAGCCTCCTCACGTGCTGGGTCTCTGAGGCTCCTCGGTGCTGCCCAGGTCCTCGTGTACACCGATCCTGGAAAGACCACCCAAACCCTCCCCTGCCACACTGACAGGACCGCCCAAGCCGAGACGCCGGTGGGCCCACGGAACGCTACCCGCGCCGGACAAGGCTGTGGTGGCTTTGCGGGTCGGACACCCTGACGTAGCCTCTGTGTTGTCGGCAGCCGGGTTTGAGTGGGCCTGGAATCCGATCTCTGGGGCCCTGGGGCGGGGGCTGTAGGCTCACTCTTGGTCTCTGGGGCGGGGCTGTAGGCTCACTCCTGGTCCCTGGGGTGGGGGCTGTAGGCTCACTCCTGGTCTCTGGGGCCCTGGGGCGGGGGCTGTAGGCTCACTCTTGGTCTCTGGGGCGGGGGCTGTAGGCTCACTCCTGGTCCCTGGGGTGGGGGCTGTAGGCTCACTCCTGATCTCTCAGGTCCTGGAACAGGGGCTGTAGACAGGGCTGGCCCGCACCCTGGCATGTAAGATACACGCTTCCCTTCCTTCCCATCCTTGCATCTTGGTATCATCAGTATATTGCAGCCTGCATGTGGCAGTGGTGCTGTGGTAGAGTTCAGCACCCTTCAGAACTGCAGTCTGGAGTCGGGCTGCCAGAACCTACATCTTTGTGCCTTAGCGAGGCTCCTGGACCTGCACTCTGATCGCCTGCTCAGTGTCCTTGGCACCAGGACTGATCTGTGATGCTGGTGCCCCAGCCTTTCCCTGTCTGCCCCACAGCACAGCCTGTCCTGGTACAGGGGAGGGAGGGTTCTCAGGCTCTGGCAGCCTGAAGGATCCCCATTGTACTGAGCTCCACTTTCACATAAGAGGAGGCTGATACCAGGTGGGGAAACCTGGAGGCAAGTTCAGTAGGTTCTCTGGTTTGGAACTTTTCTTTGGAAAAAGGGGGTGTAGAGGTTAAGCCTCAGCTCACAGTGTCAGTTCCTGTCCCACTGCCTCTCCAGCTTCCTCCTGATGGAAAGCAGTGGATGGGCCCAGGCCTTGGATCATCCTGACTCTGGCTGTTGCAGAAATCTGGAGATGGAAGATTTCTTTCTGCCTTTTAAACAAAAATAAACACTTAAAAGGGAAAGTAAAGTCCTTTTTCTACTTCCTACTTGTTGCTGTGCTGTGTAACCATTCACCCAGTTAGTCTGCATCTGTGCACACAAAAGGCTGGTGTCATTGACAAGTATCCCCTCAGTCCTACACACTCCAAGCCCAAGGTGCTGGTGTGGGCCCCTGCTGAATCCCCAGGTGTTGCGGGCTAAGGAGTTGATTAACATTAAGCTGAGTATTACAGGAAATGGGCTTGTGGCCAAAAGCTCCTGGTCTAATGGGACTTATTGGCATTCTATTGTTTGGTTAAAGCACTTGGAGGAAAGAGTATATGAGGAGTAATAAAGAGAGGCTTGAGGGAGACTTCTACCATCACTGGTCTCCTGTCGGTGCTTCATCCTCAGACCCTCTCTGTGTCCATGTTACTGGCTCTGCTGGCCAGGCCACCCAGGGACACAACACTTGGTTCATGTGCTCTCTCAATGCTTAAGTGTTTATTTGAAAGGCAGAGTTTCAGAGACAGAGCTCTTCCACCTGCTGGTTCTCTTCCCAAATGCCACGAACAACTAACAGACTGAATTAGGAACCTGGAACTCTATACTAATCTTCCCTGCAGGAGGCACGAGTACTTGAGCTGTTACTGCTGCCCGCCAGGATGCGTGTCAGCAACAGGGATGTGAACCAGTGCATCACACACAATGGCTTAACCTGTTGTACCACCATGTCTGTCCTTCCTGTTACATGAGTGAGTTTCCCAACCTGCCTTGCAGGTGGAAGTGGTCAAGCTAAGTTCCTGCTCTGGAGAAGGGAGCAGCCCAGCAGACCGACCATCTGTTGGCTGCCTCTAAAGACTGCTGCTCCCCAAAAGACTCCAGCCCTGCAGCAGCCTCTCCAGGCTGTCCTGGGAGCCGACACAGAGTGTGTCCCAGTAACTCAGTCTCGAAAAGCTGTGACAACTGTCATGACGGTATGGGAGAGGTCAGGCCCTACAAAGCCCGAGACAGCCCTGAAACTGTGGTGAGCGTATGCAGCTGGAAGACAGGAGGTACACCCATCTCAGGAAGGTTCTCAGACAGTCCCTGCAAGAAAGGGAGCTTTTCTGAGGAGACCAGCTTAGGTCAGTGTGTCACAGCAGGGCCTGGCTGGGCGTTCTAGCCCTTTGTGCTGATGCTCCAGCACATGGGAGGAAGAATCAAGTTGGGTTCCTGCTGCTTACAGGCGAGTCCAGGTTGGAGCTCCTGGGTCCTGGCTTCAGCTGAGGGTGAACCAGTGGATGAAGATCTCTTGTCACTGCTTTTCAAATAAACTAGTCTTTAAAAATCAGAAATCGGGCTGGTGCTGTCACCTGCAATGTTGGCATCCTGTATCAGCATCGGTTTGAGTCCCTGCTGCTCTACTTGCCATCTAGGTCCTTCCTCATGGCCTGGGAAAGCAGAAGAGGATGACCCAAGTGCTTGTTATCCTGCATCCACATGGGAGACCCAGAAAAAGCTCCTGACTCCTGGCTTGGTCCTAGTCCAGTGCTGGCCTTTGCAGCCATCTAGGGAGTGAATCAGCAGATGGAAGATATCTAACTCTGCCTTTATGAAAAAATAAATATATATATATACACACATACATATTTAAAGTCAGAAACAAGCAAAATAGTGGACATCAGTGAAGAGCCTGTCACAGCATTGAACGCAGGACAATGAAATGGGTTTGGTTAAGCAGCATGAGTCAAACAGCCAGATATACGGCAGAGTGTTAAGTGAAAACTATGAAACTGACCCAGGCAGATGGCTGGTATGACCCCATAACAGGACTTTGGGCAGCCTGGGCTCAGCATTTTGTGCTGCAGTGAAGGCACCTGCGTGCCTGGCCCCATACAGCTCATGAGCAGCCAGGGGTGGCTTAAGCCCCTGGGTCCTTGCTGGAGCTCTGGATTCCTGGCTTTGACCTGTTAGTCTGGCTGTTGTGGACATCTGGGGAGTAAACCAGAAGATGGAAGATTCTCTGCCTTTCAACGGGCAAAGGATGGAAACAGACATGTGACCCCAGAGGAGGTCAGGTTGGGATGCATACAGGAGACATTTGTTGCACTCCCCACATGGCTGGGTCCAGATTGCCACCAGATGCTGGGGAGCACCTGGTGCGTCAGATTTGGCCACTGCTGCACGAACACAAAGTGGCCCGGACCCTCTGAGAGGCCATCTGGGAACTGTTGTCTTCAACATGAAGTTTCCACAAAACAAGTCTTGGCACACGGCAGCCATGGGACTCCTGGGATCTGCTTAGATGAAGTGGTGTGGGTATACATCTCTGGGCCACATATCCCACCTGCACATGCCTGCCAACAGCAGTCCTGCTCCAATGGCCACAGTGAAAGTGGGCATCAGGTGTGTGTGGACGATGGCATGGATGTTCAACAAAAAAGAAACAAGCCTGGGCCCAGTGTGATAGCATAGTGGTTAAAGTCCTCATCTTGCATGCCTGGGACCATGTGGTCGCAGATTCTAGTCCTGGCGGCCCTGCTTCCCATCCAGCTTCCTGCTTGTGGCCTGGGAAGGCAGTTGGGGATGGCCCAAAGCCTTGGGACCCTGCACCTGTGTGGGAAACCTGGAAAAGCTCCTGGCTTTGGACTGGCATAGCACTGGCCGTTGCAGTCACCTGGGGAGTGAATCATTGGAGGGAAGATCATCCTCTCTCTCTCTCCTCCTCTCTGACTTTGCAATAAAAATAAATCTTAAAAAACAAACAAACAAACAAAAAACAAGCCCATCTGAAAAGGTTGTGTCTTGAAAATGCCACACCAAAAATTGGAAGCGATGAATTCACCCAATTTTTCCTAAACCTAGATCCTTCCCACCCTGATCAACCATGTAATCATTATTAAAAAATAAAATTACCAAAAATAAAAAGGAAAATGCTGCTATTAGGCTATGGAGAAGGATGGAGGTGCAGCAGACTGGTGGCTGGGGCAGGGGGGACAGGGATGGACAGCACCCATGGAAGCCTGCTGCATGGTCTTGCTACCCAGCTGCCTACTGGCAGTGGTGAGGCTCAAGGCTCTCAGCTCTGGCCCCATCCCATTCCTTGCTGTCCAGGTACCTTAGGGGAGAACAAAGGGGCGCGTGCAGGTTCATCACTAAGCATTAATGGACTAGGGAGGAGGCACCCAACAAGACAAAGTTCCACTGTGGTTGGATCCCCTATGAGGAGAAACTGCAAGATTAGTAAATGTTCCTACTTTTCAAGTTGGAGGAGGCTGTGGGAAGCCCATTAGCACTGTTTGCGGCGGGGTGCCTGGGTCCCTGCGGATGCGCATATGGCCAAGGCTGCCACAACTGTGTTCTCGCCACGCGTGCGGATGGCTGGATGGACTCTGGCTTGGCTTGGCATTAGCGGGTGGGGGGTAAGTGGGCAGATGGAATATCTCACTCTGCCTTTCAAACAACACTTAAAATATGTTTGACATACATGTTTTCAATAGGGGAAGCACTGCTCCCGGGTCTGGCTACACACTCTACTCGGCTCAGCCCCCGGGTGCAGCAGGTACGGGAAGGGGCGCGCCCCCCAGCCCCCATTAGCTCCAGAGCCCCTCAGCGGCGGTGCAGCCACGCGATCGCGGGAGAAGGGTGGGCGCAGGTGAGCCGGGGCCCCGGCCTCGCGGCCTTCCCCCTCCACCCCCTGCAACGACCTAACGACCCTCCCACCCGACAACGGGCGGCGTTGCCCGCGCGGCCCGGGCAGGCCGGAGCGCACTGAGCGCGCCAGGGCCCAGGACGCCACCGCCTCTCCGGCTCTGCCGCCCTCGACGCAGCGGAAGCCGGGGGGCGTGGCCCGCCCGCGGCCAATCCACGGGCACGGCTCATGAATAGTGAGCGCGCCGCCGCCGCCGCCCCGCCCCCGCGCCGCCCGCCGCGCAGACCCCGAGCGCGGCCGCGGACGAAGATGGCGACCGCCATGTACTTGGAGCACTACCTGGATAGTAAGCGCGTCCTGCCGCCGCCGCGCCCGCCCCAGGCGCGAGGCCACCGCCGCCGCCGCGCCCCGCGCGCGGGCCTGGGGGCTCCGGGGGCTCCGGGAGGCGGGCGGGACGGGCCGCGGGCGGGGCGGGGTCCCGCCGCCCCGGCCGCGCGGCTCCAGGTGCGTCACGGCGGGGCGGGGCCCAAGGGCAGCGGCCACGCCCGGCCGGCTGGGGCCGGAGTCCGCCGAGTCCCGGGCGCGTCGGGCCGGCGCTCCCGCGTCTCCTCTCCGCCCGCCCGGCCTGCCCGCCGCCAGGGCCGCCCCTGGGGTCCCATGTCTCCTGTCCGCCCGCCCGGCCTGCCCGCCGCCAGGGCCGCCCCCGGGGTCCCTCCGAGCCCCCGGAGCGGTGATTGGCAGCGGAGCTGAGGCCCTGAGCATGGTGATGGGCGGCTGAGCAGGGCTGCGTCTTATTGGCGAGCACCCAGGAGCCCTCGGTACCTTGGGAAGGTTCGCGATGGCTCAGGCCTGGAGGCCGCTCGGTCCCTGGCTGCGAGAAAGGCTGGTCCCGTGAGGTTGGAAGCTCATATTTATTAATTTAGGGTTTTTTGGAAAAGATTATTTTTCTGAAAGTCAGGCTTTCAGATTGAGAGACAGACACATACTTCTTTCGTCGCTGGTTCACACCCCAAATGGCTGCAGAGGCTGGAGCCAGGAGCTCTGTGTGGGTCTTCCACGTGGCTGCAGCACTTGGTCCGTCCTCTGCTGCTTTCCCAGGTGCATCAGCAGGGAGCTGCACAGGAAGTGGAGCAGCCCGGACTCGAATTGGTGGCTCTGTGGGGTGCTGGTATTGTGGGTGGCGACTGTTGCCCTGCAGGAGTGGTGGGCCCCAAGCCCACTTGGGTGAAATTAAGCTGAGATGCTCTGGAGCTCTTGTGGTCTGCACTGCCTGTGTGCTGGATAACAGATGGGCGTTCTGGCTTGGGCCCTAGGGATGCTGAGGTGAGAGGTCCTGTGTCCTGCTCGCCCAACTTTGCTGGGTTCTGGGTGTGGTGTGTGTGTGGGGCCAGATGCCTTGCACTGAGGAGTTGGGCGCTGTGGTGGGCGTCACCATGGGGGTGCCTGTGGCCATGGACTTGGGTCCAACTACCCATCTGTGTTCCAGGCATCGAGAATCTGCCCTGTGAGCTGCAGAGGAACTTCCAGCTGATGCGGGAGCTGGACCAGAGGACGGAAGGTGAGTGGAGCCAGCGTGGATCGTGCCTGGCGCAAGGCCTATACCAGGGGCAGTGTGGGGTTTGTGGATCTGGAATGCAGCTTTCACTTTTGCTGGTTCGCTCTTTAACTTGCTGTTTCTGAAGATGTTTTTTTCTGTATTCTTAAATCAAGTTTTGGTTTTGTGCAGTTTATTATGCAACTTTTTTTTTCTTTAATTTATCTGTTTGAAAGGCAGAGCTGTGGACAGAGAGATCTTCCATCCACTGGTTCACTCCCTAAATTGCCACAGCGACTAGAGCTGAGCTGATCCAAAGCCAGCAACCAGGAGCTTCTGGGTCTCCCACATGGGTGCAGAGTTCCAAAGCTTTGGGTCATCATCTGCTGATTTCCCAGGCCACAGGCAGGAAGCTGGACTGGAAGTGAAGCAGCTGGGAGATGAACTGGTGCCCTTATGGGATACCAGCACTTCAAGTGGAGCTGCCCTGTTATGCCATAGTGCCAGCCCCATGAAGAAGCTCTTTACCAGTCCCTTTTGTGGGTAGGGTGCGGGGAAGAACAGTGTTCCTGGGAGGCAGCTGTGTGGTCTGCTCTCTGTTCCTGTTTCCTTTGAGCTGCTGTCCCTTCCATGTCCAGTGCTGCCCAGATGATGCCCTGAGCCTTCCTGGGCCCCTTTCAGTGTGGCCCTGTTTCTTATGCTGATGGCCCTTGAAGAAAGCCCTGTGGGAAGGTAAACTTGGGTCCTGTGGCCTGTCAGGAAACATTGCCTTTGTAGCCTCATGCTTAGAGGCAGAGAGAGCTCTGGCATCTGCTGGTTCACTCCCCCAACACCCAGAGTACTCAGGCTGGGGTTACAGTAGAGCCCACACCCCATAGGGGCACTGGTTTGAGTCTTGGCTGCTGCACTTCCCATTCAGCTTCCTGCTTGTGGCCTGAGAAAGTGGTAGAGGATGGCCCAAGGTCTTGTGACCCTGCACCCACATGGGAGACCCAGAAGAAGCTCCTGGCTTCAGACTCCACACTGGGAAGAAGCAGCAGCTGGAAGATCTCTGTCTGCCACCCCCTACTGTAACTAGTTTTTAAATAATAAATATTTATAAAAACACAGGAGTGGGCCCGGCGGCTAAAGTCCTCGCCTTGAATGTGCCCGGGATCCCATATGGGTACCGGTTCTAATCCCGGCAGCTCCACTTCCCATCCAGCTCCCTGCTTGTGGCCTGGGAAGGCAGTCGAGAACGGCCCAAAGCTTTGGGACCCTGCATCTGCGTGGGATACCCGGAAGAGGTTCCTGGATCCTGGCTTCAGATCAGCATAGCATCGGCCGTTGCGCTCACTTGGGGAGGGGATTGAATCATCAGACGGAAGATCTCTCTCTCTCTCCTCCTCTCTGTATATCTGACTTTCCAATAAATAAATAAATCTTTAAAAAAAAACCACACAGGAGCCCTTCTTTTCTGGGTAGCGTGTTGTCCTGTGTGCTTTGGTCTCATCCTCCTGCTGGGTAGCATGTTGTTCTGTATCACTTGTCCTTGACTCCCATGGTCCAGTTCCTCCCGTGTTCTGTGGCGTGGCTTTCAGCTGTGTATCTGTAGTCTAAGTACTTACTACTTATAGTGTGTATAGGAAGAGAATGTGGTCACAGTAGCTGACCCCGTAGTCTATTATCCAGAGAGGACATAAGGGTCAGAGAGGGTACCTATAACATGCCAGCCTGTCCTGGATATGTGGAGCCTGTGGTGGCTCTCCCACCATCCTGTGGTGACCAGTGGCAGCGCCAGCTCTCCCACCATCCTGTGGTGATGCTGTGGGTGGAGCTGGCTCTCTCACCATCCCTTGGTGACCAGTGGGCAGGGCTGGCTCTCCCACCATTCTGTGGTGATTCTGTGGGTGGGGCCGGCTCTCTCACCATCCCTTGGTGACCAGTGGGCAGGGCTGGCTCTCCCACCATCCTGTGGTGACCAGTGGGCAGGGCCAGTTCTCCCATCATCTTGAGGTGATGCTGTGGGTGGGGCTGGCTATCGTACTGTCTTGGACTTGAAGTGACTTTTTCAGGCCAGTTCTCATGTCTCTCCCTCAGATAAGAAAGCAGAGATTGACATCTTGGCTGCCGAATACATCTCCACAGTGAAGACGCTGTCAGCTGAGCAGCGTGTGGCACACCTGCAGAAGATCCAGAATGCCTATAGCAAGTGCAAGGAGTATAGCGATGACAAGGTGCAGCTGGCCATGCAGACCTACGAGATGGTGAGTAGATTGCTTGTGGTGTCCTGTGGGCCTTTACTGGCTGTGTGTGTGCCCAGTGCAGCCATCACCGTGTGTGTGTGAGAGAGAGACTCTAGGACTGTGTGTGTCATGTCCAACAGTCAGTATAGTGTGCTACAGTCACTGTGTGTGTGTGAGAGAGAGACTGAGGGGGTGTGTGTGGTGTCCTGCAGTCACTGTGTGTGTGTGAGAGAGACTGAGATCGTGGGCTGTGTGTGTAGTGTCCTGAGAGACAGATAGATAGACCGTGGGCTCTGCGTTTTTCCTGAGAGCGAGAGAGAGTAAGAGAGACCGTGGGCTGTGTGTTCAATGTCCTGCAGTCACCATGGCTGGCTCCCTCTGTGCTTCCAGCCAACTGTACACTTCCAGCCTACTCTGCACCTGAAATGTGATTCATTCTCGGTTTACTTTTATTTTTCTCCATGGTTCTATTTCTGTTTTTAGAATTTTAGATTGGATGCAGTGTCACTGCCCAAATCTCTGCCCTTCTTATACCCTGGGCCTCACCGGACAGGGTTTGAGCTGTTTGGTTCTGAAACTGGGGCAGGAAGGCCTGCGGGTAACCCTCAGTGCTGTGGGGCTTGTCCAGCAGAGCAGTTTGGGAGGGTTTCCGCCACCCTGCAGGAGCCCCCCAGCCATGCTAACTCCACCTGTGCTGTTCCTCTCACAGGTGGACAAGCACATCCGGAGGCTGGATGCAGACCTGGCACGCTTTGAGGCAGATCTAAAGGACAAGCTGGAGGGTAGCGACTTTGAGAGCTCAACAACCCGGGGGCTGAAAAGCAAGTAGCTGTTTTTCCCCATTTGTACGACTGAGTGTGTGAGGAGTTGGCAGTCAGTGTCTCCTCCTGCTGTGTTCTGAGTGAGGAGCTGATGGTCAGCGTCTCCTCCTCCTCCTGTGTTCCGAGTGTGTGAGAAGCTGATGGTCAGAGTCTGCTTTTGTGAATTTTGTGATTGTCACCAAGCTTTTTTGTTCTAGAAGGTCGGGGTCAGAAGGAAAAGAGAGGCTCCCGGGGGCGTGGCCGGAGAACCTCTGAAGAAGACACCCCCAAGAAGAAGAAGCACAAGGGAGGGTAAGCGGTTGCCTTCACGGGGTGTTGGGGGTGGTCCCTGGCCACACTGGTCCTGATCCTGCTTCCTATGCCTGTGACCCTGTCACCCACCAAAGACCCATGTGCAGCTTCAGACTCCTGGCTTTGACCTGGGTCAGCTCTGGCTGTTCTGGGCATTAGAGCAGACCAGCAGATAGGACCTGTCCTCCCTGTGTCTCCTATCTCCCCCCTCGAAAAAAAAATAGAATCCCTACTCCCAGCTAGATGTCATCCAGACTGCTGTAGTGCTTATTTCCTAACTGGTCTCCATTGCAGTTTAGTCTTGTTTTTTTTTTAATTTAGTGTTTTAAATTAACTTTGTTAATTTACAATAAGTTGTTCTTGTGTTACGTCTATGGTTTGTTAAGTTGTGGAAGTGTTTATCCTCCTGTTACTTCTGGAGTCATCCTAGGGAAACCTTTGCTTTGCAAAAATTTGTGTCTGTAAGGTTGTTAGGACTGCTGTGTGGGTCTGTGATGAGGGTCCCTTCCCACACCTGGTGTGAGCCGTGTCTGACTTGTCTCAGAAGACTAGCTTCAGTCTCATTTTTTCTCTTGAATTTTCTTGTGTGTGATTGTGGTTTTTCCTCTCCATAACTTGGGTTTACTTTTAAGGTGAAAGTAGCTTGTATTCTCAGGCTTTGTTTCTTTCCTTTCCTTTCCTTCTTTTTTTGAGATTTACTTTTATTGGAAAGTCAGACACACAGAGAGGAGGAGAGATCTTCCATCTGTTGATTCACTCCCCAAGTGGCCCACAATAGTTGGAGCTGAGCTGTTCCAAAGCCAGGAGCCAGGAGCTTCTTTTGGGTCTCCCACGCAGTTGCGGGGTCCCAAAGTTTTGGGCCATTCTCGCCTGCTTTTTCAGGCCACAAGCAGGGACCTGGATGGGACGTGGGGCCGTCAGGATATGAACCTGTGCCCATGTGGGATCCTGGTACATACAAGGCAAGAACTTCAGCCTCTAGGCTACCACACCAGGCCCATGTACCTTTCTTTTTTTAAATACTGTTAGTTCTACTCATAACTTTGCATGCGATTTTATTCTGTTTTAATGTTTAAAATTTCTTTCATGAATTTCCATGATTTCTAAGTTATATAGAGGTATGTTCTCAATCTGCAAATTTTTTTAAAGATTATTTGTTTTTATTGGAAAGTCAGAGAGAGAGAAGGAGAGACAGAAGCAAAGATCTTCTATCCCCTGGTTTGCTCCCTAAGTAGCTATAATGGCCAGAGAGCCAGGAGCTTCTTCAGGGTCTCCCATGCAGGTGCAGGGTCCCAAGGCTTTGGTACATCCTCTACTGCTTTTCCCAGGCCACAAGCAGGGAGCTGGATGGGAAATGGAGCAATTGGGACACGAACTGGCACCCATATGGAATCCTGGTGCATGCAAGACAAGGATTTTAGCCACTAGGCCACCACGCTGGGCCTGCAGATTTTTTTCAAACTTCTTTTTATTGGGAAGGCAGATTGACAGAGAGAGAGAGACAAAGATCTCCTTCCTGCTTGTTCACTTCCCAAATGGCCGCAATAACCAGAGCTGAGTCAGTCCAAAGCCAGAAGCTTCCTCTGGGCCTCCCTCATGGATACTGGGCTCAGGCTGCATGTGGGACACTGGCGTCACTCAATCGTGGCTCAGTGCAATGCACGACAGGCCGGCCTCCTTGCTTTTTCACTGTCCATGCTTAGGAGAGCATTGTTTATCAGAGGGATGCTTGAGTCTAGGGTCCCTTTGTTGCTTTTGTCAGTGACCTGCTGTAGTCTGCATCTACTCCTAAATGAAAGGGACGGATGTGGGGAGGTTTGCTGTCAGTCACTTGGAACACACTCCAGGGGTAGGGGTGGAGATGAGACAGGTGTGTCCCCCTGTTCCTGCCCTGACTGTATCCATCCTCTGCAGGTCTGAGTTTGCAGACACCATCCTGTCCGTTCACCCCTCTGATGTGTTGGACATGCCTGTGGACCCCAATGAACCCACCTACTGCCTGTGCCACCAGGTGTCCTATGGGGAAATGATCGGCTGTGACAACCCAGATGTGAGTGTGGGGCTGCTGCCAGGAGCCCTGTGGGGTTCGGGTGGTGGGACCAGTGCTGAACATGGCTCCTCTTCTCCACAGTGTCCCATTGAGTGGTTCCACTTTGCCTGCGTGGACCTCACTACGAAGCCCAAAGGAAAATGGTCAGTATGGCTGCCATCACGCTGGCCTCTGGTCTCACTGTCCCTGAGGTCTGTGCTGGACCTGCCCCAGTGTCCCTGAGGTCTGTGCTGGACTTGTCCCCAGTGTTCCTGAGGTCTGTGCTGGACTTGTCCCAGTGTCCCTGAGGTCTGTGCTGGACCTGTCCCCAGTGTCCCTGAGGTCTGTGCTGGACCTGTCCCTAGTGTCCCTGAGGTCTGTGCTGGACCTGTCCCCAGTGTTCCTGAGGTCTGTGCTGGACTTGTCCCAGTGTCCCTGAGGTCTGTGCTGGACCTGTCCCCAGTGTCCCTGAGGTTTGTGCTGGACCTGTCCCAGTGTCCCTGAGGTCTGTGCTGGACCTGTCCCCAGTGTCCCTGAGGTCTGTGCTGGACCTGTCCCTAGTGTCCCTGAGGTCTGTGCTGGACCTGTCCCAGTGTCCCTGAGGTCTGTGCTGGACCTGTCCCCAGTGTCCCTGAGGTCTGTGCTGGACCTGTCCCAGTGTCCCTGAGGTCTGTGCTGGACCTGTCCCAGTGTTCCTGAGGTCTGTGCTGGACCTGTCCCCAGTGTCCCTGAGGTCTGTGCTGGACTTGTCCCAGTGTCCCTGAGGTCTGTGCTGGACTTGTCCCAGTGTCCCTGAGGTCTGTGCTGGACCTGTCCCTAGTGTTCCTGAGGTCTGTGCTGGACTTGTCCCAGTGTCCCTGAGGTCTGTGCTGGACCTGTCCCTAGTGTCCCTGAGGTCTGTGCTGGACCTGTCCCCAGTGTTCCTGAGGTCTGTGCTGGACTTGTCCCAGTGTCCCTGAGGTCTGTGCTGGACCTGTCCCCAGTGTCCCTGAGGTTTGTGCTGGACCTGTCCCAGTGTCCCTGAGGTCTGTGCTGGACCTGTCCCTAGTGTCCCTGAGGTTTGTGGACCTGCCTCACTGTCTCGGGTGTATACTGGGTTGTCTGCGTAAGAGTAGTCCTTGTGGTTCTGAGTGAGGCAGATGGAGGGGATGTTCTCATTCCCCAGGGAGATGATACGCAAGAATAGGGTGGGGAGCTCTGAGGTTCAGCGGGCAGCAACCATTTTCAGTCCTGCAGTTGCTGCAGGCAGCAGCCATTCATGTTACCCTTGTGAGGTTAGGCATGGCAGGAGCCCATGCATGTTGCCTGGTGTTTCCCAGTGAGGTGGCAGGAACATTGTCCTGGTACAGGCCTGTTTGAGCTGGCGGTCTGCTTGTCCATATGTGATAAGACAGCTGCAGTCAGGGCTAGTGTGTGAGAGCCACTGTTCCTCAGGGGTGGAGGAGGGATGGGTTGCATATGTGTGGTGGTACTGCTGGGACCTCCTGGTATAGGGCTGAGCAGGGGCTCCTGGTCCAGCTCATTCAGTCCTGCTATGCCCCTCCCTGGAGCATGCCCATGCCTGACCCCAGGAAGAGTGGAGCCTGAGCTGCCTCCACTTTCTGGCCTGGGGGCAGATCTGCCCAAGCACGAGTGCATGGCGGGTTGTAGAGAAGGCTGTGGGGACATTGCTGGCATCATGGTCCTGTCAGCCAAAGACCCTCACTACCTTTCTCATCACAGGTTCTGCCCAAGGTGTGTGCAGGAGAAGAGGAAGAAGAAATGAGGAAAGGCTGGGCCATGGATGGAAAGATGGGTGTATCTTTCACTCACGTTGCAATATTGTTTTTGGTTTTAAAGCTACCTTGTTTCCACTGATAATTAGTAACTCAATGGCTGCTTCTGGATCTTTCTGAACTCAAAACAAGAGCACCCTGTGTGCACAGTGGAGCAACCTGACCTGCGGTGGGGCCTGCCCACCTGCCACGGACTGGGTTCTCTTGATTGAGTGTGGCAGACCCTGAGCAGGACCTGAGAGGACTGGGGGGCGGGGAGGGAGGGCCAGGGTTGCCAGCAGGTGTGTGGGGTGGGTTAGGGTGGAGGCTTGTAGTGGGGTATACTGTGGCCACCTCACAACTGAGGTATCAGCTGGGCATTGTCTGCAGTTTTCCAGACTCATGGACAGGGGCTCCACATACCCCCACATGGTAGGCACACCTGTGCCATCACCCATGTGGGGGAGCACACTTTTGCTGACAGCCGTGTGGAGTTATGCAGTGTGGTTGGTCTGCCCTCTGAGCTATGTTCTGACCCTGGCTTAGGCCATCTGGACTCTGGCTGAGGACACTGCTATCACACTGGGCAATAGCCTTCCGGCTCCCTGCACTGCCTCAACTGGGTGAAACTCTGGACCAGGCAGCTCTGGTAGCATGAGGCTTCGGGTCACCATGCCCAGTGTTGACCTGAGGTGGCTGGACAGCTGGGCTTGTGGAAATGCCTGATATTTTTACTGTGAAGATGAAGTCGTCGTCTTAGCATGCAGATTGTGGGCGTGTCTGTGAAGTACCCTGTGGCTTGGTGGTGAAGCTATTGTGCCACGGTAGGAGACCAGTGGGTTTGTGTTGAATCAGCATCTGCCAAACTGAAGCTGAACCGTCTTGTGGTCTGTGGTTGGGGGGAAATGTTCATGTGGCCTGTTGGGTTCTCCCAGGGTTGAGGGGAGCTCAGGAGGTGGGACTGGGACATGAAGGAGGCCCTCCTGCTACCTAACATGTTACTGTGGTGCTCTCTCCCACACGGAGCGGGTGTCGGTGTCCACTCGGGCGCCTGACCTTGGCACTCTGCGGCTGGCCCGCAGGTGCCTGCCATTGTTGGGGGGGGTGTGGTACCCTAGTCAGAGAAAAGTGTGGTCCCTGTCCAACCAGGCCTGGAGCCTGGGGATGCGTTGTTGTGTGATGACTGAGCATTCCGTCAGCACGGATGCAGCAAGGATGTTTGCTGGGGAGGAGTCAGCTGTGGAAGTGTCTCTTCCCTGATCATGCTCCATTGGGGAGAGGAGGGCACAGGGCTCCCAGCCGACCTCCTCTTTCCTTGTTACCTTTGCACGCTGCATGCCCCTCGCCCCTGTGCCTGCAGCTGGTGTCACACACAGCGGTAGCCTGCATGTCACCAGCAAGCCACCTGCTCTGACTTCACATCTGTTCTGTGTTTACTTGGGGATTTCAACAATGTCACTAAGATCCCTTGCAGGTGTGTGTAGAAGGGAGCCCTCAGCCCCTTGCCAGGAACAGCTGGTGGGATGGGGACCACTCCTGCCATGGCCCAGCATCACTGTGGTAGCACAAGGAACCACATGGAGGCTTGGCTGCCTTTGCCGGGTCATCTTGAGACCTGGGGACCTAACCCAGGGGGCACCCCCCCCAACTCCTGTTGTGCGAGGGCTCCCTCTGGTGATCATGGAGTTACCTCAGAGAGAACAGGAGCCTCGGAATCCTTCCTACTTTCCACTGCCAGGTCAGTGGTCACGTCCTGTCTGTGAGTGGTCTGAGAAGCCCTGCAGCTCCATTAAAGACTGGATGGGGTTGGGACCTATGCAGCGACTGGCTGATCCTCCTGTATAGGGGATGTGACTGGTCCTGGCCTGGCCACAGGGTGTCTTCTCATCTGCCTGGAGCAATGAGAGGCAACCCTGTGGGCCCATGACTGAGTGGGACGGGGACAGCGGCCCAAGGCCTTGGGTGTGTGGGGTTCTCTTGCACTCTTAGGGCTGAGATTTGGGAAGTCTTGAGGGCAGTGTCCCCTGCTGTGTGTGTGTGTGTGTGTGTGCGCGCGTGTGCAGAGTCTGTTCTCCCCCCACCCCCATGCCACCCAAAAAGACAATGCAGCTGTGACATGAATGTTACCTTTTTATGTTCAAGGAATTGTTATCTGTGTTCCATTTGTAAAGGAGAGATAATATTGTAAATCTTTTTATTGAATAATGTAAAGATGTATATCTGTATTTTTGGATCATGCTATAGATTATGGATATATTGTTTAATAAAGTATTTTTTGGAACAAACCTGCCTGTGCATCATTCTGTAAACATCTCGAGGATCTTAGTATCCCACTGAGGTGGTGACAGGAGCTTGTGGTGACCTCGGGAGGGGGCACGCTTACAGGCAACAGTGAGGAAAAATGGCTTGTTCTAGAATGGGGGCTGTTGACAGCCCGGACTAACCAGGGGGTGCAGCCACAGGTCTCAGTGGCCTCTGTGAGACTTGTGCAGACTTGGTTAAGATGCTCTCAGCCTCCTGACGATCTTTCTGCTGGAACAAGTGGTCATGTGTGTGGCAGGAGGGTCTTGCTGTAGCTATTGCTGTCAGACCCGTGTCTCATGCTGTCACTTGTGGATTGCCATCCTGGTGTCCTGTCCTGTCAGGCCTGTGGGCTGCCATTCCAAGACACCCAGGGCAGGGCTTGGAAGTGCAGGAGCAGGTGATGGTGAGGATGGCTTTACTTGTGCATGGCCCTCAGCGGGGGGTGTTGCTCCCTGTGATGGCAGCAGGCAGGGGGACTGTCAGAGGCCCAAGCTTAGGCCCCCCGCCTTTGGCTTTAATTTCCTCCATGTGCAGCTATGCTGTGGCTTGGGGCTTCCTCATGGGAGCTGTAGGTAGTAGGGCATAGCGCGACTGGCTGGGCACTGTCCTCTGCCAAATGAGGACCCCAGTACTAGCATGCATTGTGCTCACTCGATCCTCCAAGGGCACCCATGGGCCTGACCTTGGCTGTAAACTCACTGGCGCTTGGGTGTTGTGTGACCAGGTGATGGGACCCTCCTGTGTGTCCCTGAAGCATACACCGGACAAGTGGTGGACATGAGTGTGCATCAGCCTGTGAGTGAGGGTCTGGAGGGCTCTAGAATGTCCCCTCCCATCAGCATTCAACAGCAGAATGCATCCTAGGAGGGAGGTGCAGGGTATCCTTGTTGGGCTCCCCATGGAGGAGGTGGAGGGTGCTGTGTGTATGGTGCAGGGTCCTGGCCCCAGGTGTCCTTGTTGGGCTCCCCATGGAGGAGGTGGCAGGTGCTGGTGCCACTGAGATAGCATGAGGCAGGAGTCTGGATTATAGCCACATCTCTAGCACTATCAGTGTGCCCATTGGTCAAGTTACTCCTTCCCTAGGAGCTACTTCCCTTCACCTGGGACCTGGAGGTGGTACCACCTAACCGTTTTCCCTACAAGCTGTAAAGAAGCCTGGCAATGGGGGGGGGGCGGAATTCGAGGAAGCTGGTTCCTGAAATTCTCTCTCCAACCCACTATACCCACACCTGTGTGAGGCTTAAACTTATCACTCTGCTCCAGGTGAGAGCAAAAACCCACAACTGAAACCCCACTTGGCTCAATACCACCGTGGGCATGTGCGCCCTGCCTGCCCTCTGCCTTCCTCATTGCCTTCGTCAGGAGCTCCAAAAATGCTCCCCGCGAAAGGATTTGTTGGGGGCGCACCCGTGCAACAGAATGGGGCAGGAAGCACTTCTGCCCACAGCCTGGGACTGGGAGACCAAAGAGGCCACCTGGAGGAGGCACTTACAGGCGGAAACCCAGGCCCCAGGAGACTTGCGGCTCGGCCTATCCCGGGGTCCACAGTGACTGCAGGACGCGAGACCACAGGGAGCCGGACCTGTGGAAAGGCTCTGGGCCGGGGCGGGACCGCTCACGGGGCGGGGTGGGGCGGGGCCTCTCGCGGGGAGGGGCGGGGCGGGCCTCTCGCGGGGCGGGCCCCGGGGAGCAGGCGCAGTTTACCCCTGCTCGGCGGCCCTGGGCTGGGACGGGCTTTGCGCGCGGCCCTTGGAAACAAGCTGAGGGGCCGCGTGGACTTCTGAGAGGCAAACCCGGACCTGAGTCCTGGTCCGGTCGTGACCGCAGCCCCGGTGTTGGGTGGTGGTGGTGGTGGGCCCCGCCCTGACGGGGAGCGTCCGGCCGAATCTCCAGGCCCCGCGCCGCCCGATGCGTGGAGCAAGTACGGCCGCGTCCCGCGTTTGCTTTATCGGTAGCGCCTGTGGCACGGTGGACAGCGCGAAGGCCGGGTGGCCGGGGCAGGAGGTTGGACGTCTTCAAAGGAAGGGGCCGTGAAGGTTAGAGGGCGCGCCGGAGCCTCCCGCTGCCCAGGCCGCTGGCCGTCCGGTGCCTTGGACCTTGGCCGCGGCCGCAGGTGCTGCGCTGTGGTTTTCCAGAGTCCTCAGGTCTGCAGCCATGGTGCCGCGCCTGGTGTCTCGCTGGCCGCTCGGCCTTCTCCGGGGCTGTCCGGACTGGCGGCTGGCCCGCGCTCCCGGAGCCCCAGGGGAGCACAGTCCGCGGCCCCGCGGCCCTGTCAAGGCAGGGGGTGCTGGCGCCCCGGCCTGCAGGGGCTGCTCCTCCACCTCCCGGGCCCCTGAGGTGACTCCGACCCGGCTGCGCTACGCTGTGCAGCGGCTGCCCTTCTCGGAGGTGTCGGCGGAGGACCTGGCCGCCTTTGAACGCATCGTGCCCGGCAGGGTCATCACAGACCCACTCGAGCTGGAGGCCTCCAACGTGGATTGGCTGAAGATGGTGCGAGGTGAGCGGGCTCTGCAGGAGCCGCCCCCGACTGGGCGCCGGCATGTTTCCACATTCTCTGGGGCTCTGTGTGTGTGTGTGAAGTGTTTGCACACTGTGGGGCTGTGTGTGTGAGGTGTTTGCACACTGTGGGCTGTGTGCGTGAGGTGTTTGCACGCTGTGTGGGGCTGTGTGCGTGAGGTGTTTGCACGCTGTGTGGGGCTGTGTGCGTGAGGTGTTTGCACGCTGTGTGGGGCTGTGTGCGTGAGGTGTTTGCACGCTGTGTGGGGCTGTGTGCGTGAGGTGTTTGCACGCTGTGTGGGGCTGTGTGCGTGAGGTGTTTGCACGCTGTGTGGGGCTGTG